GCGGAAGCCCATCTCGTATACCTAGGTACTCCGTATGGAGTACGGAATATCTTGATTGAGTGAAGGCGGGTAAAGTCTCGAAGTTCACGGAGTACGGAGTATGGAGCACGAGTTTACAATTTGCCATTTAAGAGTGGTGTTCGATGCGAACATTCCCAACCCCGACCATATACAGTAGTACAGAGCACATACATACAGCACATACATTCTATCATTGATCTATCCCCACCATGAGGTGTCGACTGGGTCCTGAGCTGGAGTAAGGCTGGGACTGGGACGAAACAGGGGTTCTTGCGCGTGGGTGTCAAAAAACCGTCGTCATCATGCGCATTTTTACCCATTGGCTGGGAAATTCCTCAAGAGAACGAGAGAGGAGAGGAGAATGTAGGCGTCAATAATGCACAGGCTATCGAATCGATAATGCTGGGTAATGCGATTTCGTCCCGAACACACACAGAGGCATGGAGTCAATCAGTATACTTCCAATGGCACCACGGCACTACCCCCAAAAAAGAAAAGAAATCAAACCAAACCAAATCAAATCAAATAAAGTCAACAGGTGAAGTAAGGTCGCCTCCCACGCTAAGCCTAAGATGGCCCGTGTCAAAGGCCTCCTCTCCCTCGCTATCCCACATGCAGTACTAATTGTCCTGTACATGGCTGAACGCCCTGCGTGAGAATCGTCATTTGGTTCCATTTGGTATTTCTCCAATTTTCTTCTTTTATTTCCCATTTGATTTTTCCCTTTTGGCCCGGTTTTTGCCTTTTTGCCTCCGGGAGGGTCCTCTCCCTGCACCAATAATGGGCTGCCCAAAGTTGTCCCCCCCGTGGACCTCCCCTCCCCCTCCAGGACTACTCCCACATTTGGGTTTGCCTTGAGAGGCGTAACCCTAACCTGGGGGTTCAAGCTTCACTTTTTGGGATTTATTCTTTGTATTCAAAATGAATTTAAATTACTTCCTTCGTACGGGGTAGTTTTATTCCAGATTTTCCTTATTTGTATCTATTCTCTCTCTTCTTCTTCTATCAACCAATCAAATATAGAAAGTAATCACTCCAAGACATACTAGAAAAGCCCCCCGACCCCCCACGCCAACGGGTATACCCTTTGACGTATGGGATCACCATCCCCGCCGCCTTGAAACACAGTCAGGGCGAACCTTGGTCGCTGCATCGTGAGTTTATTTCTTGGCGTCCCTTTTCTTTTTCTCCTTTTTCCCTCTTTGCGTTTAGCGGGCCCCGCCGACACGGCAGAGATGGTCCATTCAAGAGGCATTCCACACTGTGCTGGACATTCTCTTCCTGCCCGTCCCTCGATGCTCCACTCCAACAGAAAGTCAAGCGTGGACTTTCCTTTGCCCCCCCTCCTTCTCTCTCCCCTTTTTAGCGGGCTCTGAGGTCACCGACTGCTTTTTGGGTCCCATGATGGTTCCCCTTTTCGTATGATTTAGCCAATTTGTCGAATTCTGTCCGATCCCGGAGAGTTTGACTGGGATGGATGCCGAAGTCGTGGGTTCTTCGGTTCTCTGGTTCTCTATCACTGTCGTTCTTTGGTTCTTTGGTTCTGGAAACTTGAATACTTCACGATGGGAGGGAGCAATGGGACTCCATACAGGAACCGGCACATTAACATTACATTACATTCTTTGCAGCGCGTCTAAATCAGATGGGTTCTCTCGATCTTCCATTCTTCAACCTAATAGGTGCATCTCGAATGGGGGATTTATTGATTTTTGATGACGAGAGGATGTTACAAAAAAGCCCGAGATCATCGTCATATCAAGAGTAAGCAACAATCAAACCAAATAGTACGAGTAGAAGTAGAACAGTATATCTCGTTGAAGAGGGTCCGAGGAACTGGTTCCCTAGGTAGAAGAAGACAAGAAGAGAGCCACATTTGGCACTAAGCAATGCCTCCAATCCTGCAAGATAAAATAAAATAGAATAAAATAAGGGAAAATAAAAAAAGGGAAAGAAAATACAAATCAAATCAAATAAAATAAAAAAGAATAGTGGATCCCCAGGGAAAAGGTAAAATTACGAGTACATGTACTAAAAGTGTTTCGAGGATCTGCAACCGTCGTCAGTGGCTCTTGGAGTTATCGTGCCTCACATCTCTTGCTAGTACTAGTAGTGGTCCTACTAGAGTACAAGAGTACTTTACTCTAGTCCTGTCGATGTTTGTCCCTTCTTAAGCTTCGCCGATCCCCTTTCCCCAGACTGCCTTTTTCTCTTCCCTCCTGATCGATCCAAAAAAATAATTAAGAAATAAGGGGATCTTCTGCTTATCACTTGCTCCTTTCACCCTTTCTTCTACCTGATACTCTCTCTCTCTCTCTCTCTTTACATCTCTACTCTTTACCCTCCCCCTCTTGGATCATCAACAGTCGATCACTTCAACTTCCACCACTCCCCTTGTTCCTGTCTATCTTGAAGAAATTCGGCGCGCGACAACGATACACTCACATACACACCACCCTCAATGACGATGGTAATGGAAAACCAAAACCGCCCATATGGCGGCATGAGCTTCGACAATGTCTATCATCACACTCCTCCCCAATTCACAGACCCTTGGGCTGCCGCGCATACTACTTCGCACGCGACGCCTCCAGTCTACGCGACTTCGATGGGTAACAGCGCCAGCATTCCCGTCAACTCGGTGAAGCAAGAGGAAGTTGGCCGAGCGGCCGCCATGTCGATTCCTTACCCCAACATCCCCGTCTCCGCGCCCTCCCTCGTGCCCGCCAGCAACTACACAACCACTGGATATGGTCCTGAGGTGATGGGTCTGCAACATGATGTGCCACGCACAACCTTTGAGCAAGCTCCCTCATACACCACTGCTCCCCCCATGAGCAGCTTTGCGCCGCCCAGCTATGCGCCAGTCAGCTACGCCCCAATTCACCCCCAATCACAAGACGCTCGTCGCATTTCTCACTCGTAAGTCCCCAAACCGATCACGATCGCATACTCGCGGATTTCCCTCATTTCTGACCCTTGACCCTATAGAGATGCTCGCGTCGGCTCTTCGCAACCACCCGCGCCCACTCCCACCTTTGGTGATGCCCTCGACGCTAGCCGTGGAATGGTGGCGCTCAGCCAGGATTTGACCCCCCGAAACATCTACGGACCTCGCGGGACTCGAGGATCCGCTGATTCCTACGGATTCCCCTCCACTCACTCATCTGCCTCGTCGATCTCCTCGGGTAGCAACTACCCTTACTACAGCGCCTCCGTTGGCTCTGTCGACTCCTCCGTGACCGACTACAGCTCCACAACATCCGAGTCCTATGAGTCGCGTACTCTTCCCCGGCCAACCAGCCTCCTGGCTGGAAGCGCACCCCCAGGACCCCAGTCTATGATGAGCCAATTCAGCTCCAAGATGCCCTCCAACACCCAGAAGAAGCACAAGTGCAAGGTCTGCGATAAGCGATTCACTCGCCCATCTTCATTGCAAACACACATGTACAGCCACACCGGCGAGAAGCGTGAGTTTTTACCCACCACAATTTTTCTCTCTTTCAAAAAGAGAGGAATAAAACAAAATAAAAATATAAAACTTGACACTAACCCAGTTTACAGCATTCGCGTGTGATGTGGAAGGTTGCGGGCGACACTTCTCCGTTGTCTCAAACTTGCGCCGACACAAGAAGGTCCACAAGGGCGAGAAGGACACCGGCTCCCCCGATGAGGATGAGTAGATTACGCATCAAGTGCATAATCTTGAAATTTTTCAATTCTGCGACGAATGAACCTGCTTTCCTTTCGGCGCGCTCTCTTTTCCCCCCTTCCCCGGGTGCCCCTGACTCCATGGCCTCAATCCTTTCGCCAAATTATCCACACCTCCCGCCACAGCCGTCTTCCGTCTGGAATTGACCTGGCCAACTGCATTGGCTGGCCATTTCAGATGGCAATCCTTGTACAACAGCTTGGACCTCATCTTCACCCGCCCCTTTTTATCTCCTACATTCTCATCTCAACCTCCCGATCGGGTGTCGGGAGAATCATCTCATACCCAACACATGGGTCTGTGACCGTGGATTCTCTTTTTATTACCTCAGGGGCTGCGAAAAGAGAGAGCTTTATTTTGATGCTTGTCTTTTTTGTCGCCTATTTTCGTTTCTATTACCCCCCAAGTTATGACCATAGAGGTGCCGGCTGGTTTGCGTTCATGGTTTACATTTTTTTTCTTATTCTTTCGCTAGACCTGGGAGTCACCTTGTGCTTTTTCGATACCAATGGGCTTGTGATGATGCGATGTTTTCTTTTGTGGGGTATTTCCTACCGTCTTTTTTTTTTCTTTTCTTCTCTTCATTTTTACCTTCATCTTTCCTCCACCTCCACAGCAGGCCACCGTTTTTTTCTTCTCTTAATATTCTTCACCTTGCATCTGTCTCGCATGGTCTAGAGCCTTTTATTCAATTTCTCCTCCCTTTTCCTGTCTGCTGAGTCGTGTCTGCGAATGTGCTTCCAACTCTCCTTTCTGTCTGTTCCTTCCTCCGCCGGCTCTACTGTGTTTCAATCGTACCGTGTGTACAGTTTGGGATTTGGTGTTGGTTTGATACCCGTGGCATTGGTGTGAGAGTGGTTGTTTTTATATTTACCTTTCGGTGAACCTGGCGGACCTCTGTTGTGATATCAAGGCCGCTGGTGTATTCCACTACAGTCGCTATAGTAAAAACTATTGTCTAATAAACAATTGAACGCTTTAGTGAACATCTGATCCCTATTATAACACTCCACTCTCCCTTCGTCAAGCTCTAAAGATGACTGACCCCAGGGCTGTTGATAGTAGTTTTCGAAATCAGTTTTACCACTAGCATTCATTCTATTAAGGCGTTCTGAGGGTTCTATGTACTAGTAGTATTATAACGGGTTTATTATAATCACGTCCTTTAATGAGATATCGTCATTACCACCGCAGTTCTGCCCACCCTAAACGGATTGTTTTTATCTGCTAGCACTAGTTCTATACTAGTAGTATAATACTTATACTCTTATAGCCTACTAACAGCCCTGGCTGTCCCAAGACTCATCGCCGCAGCTCGTCCAGCCCGTCGTCCAAACACAGCACCCGAAGTCAACCCGCTTCCTCCGGGATAATTATCATGGAAAAGACCACCAAGCATCTCCCCAACACAATACAGCCCAGGCACCTCCCGCCCTGTCGTCTCCGAAACCACAGCCGCCGTCTCCGGATTAACAGCCAGTCCCCCAAAGGTAAAAGTAATACCAGAAGTCACTTTCACAGCTAAAAACGGCGCCTGATCAATCGGCAACGCCCAATTCGACTTCGGCACGACCAAACCCGTTGTACTAACCCCATCCTTAACAGCAGGATCCCACTTCTTCCCCGGTTTAACCGCAGCATTATATTCAGCCAGGGTATCCAGAAACCTTTCTCGACCAGTCAATCCAGCCTCCACACACCGATCCGCCAATTCCTCAACACTATTCCCAACCAAATGTTTCGTCACAGAAGCCCTATACTCCTCCTCCCGTAACCACCCCGTCGTCCGCGCATCCCAAACCTGAAACGCAACCTGACCCGGCTGCGCCAGAATCCGCCGCCCAATCATCGCATACGTGTAATTGCGCATATCGGACCCTTCATCGACGAATCTTTCTCCGTCCCGATTCACCATTATCCCAAGCGGATATCCCGATTTCGTGAACTCGTTCGATACACCCCGGTCTCCGCCGTGAGCAGGCGCATCGGCGTCCCAGGCTACACTGTGACACCCGGACCAATTACCGACGGCCTTTGCGGCAACGTCTCGCTGCGCTATCTGGAGTAGATCACCGGTGTTATAGGGTGTTCCCCGGACTCGTGCTGCGTCCCAACCGGGTCCGAGATATTGTGCTCGGAGTTGAGGGTTTGCTTCGAAGCCCCCGGCTGCGAGAATGACGGCTTTGGCGCGAATGGTGAACTTTGCATCCTGGGTTCTTGGAGGTGGGTTGCTAGCACTGGTACTGGAATTGGCGCGATGGTGAACTTCAACACCGATGACAGCGTCAGTTCCCGAGGACGAGTCCGTGAGAAGTTTGGTCACGGCCATATCGAAGAAGATCTTTACACCATTCTTCTTCGCGGCACGGATATGATCCTCAACCAGACCTTTGCCGCCATCTTCCGTTTTCAGCGCAAGACCGCCCCAGAACTTGATGCGGTTGTCTACTTCGTATGCTTGGCGATTGAAGGATAACTGGAAGCGAACGCCGTTCTGCGCCAGCCAGGCGATAGCACTGCGCGAGTCTTGGACTAAGATATTTGCTGGGCAGGATCTGTGCGGCCGTTTGTCATGCGGTTTAGGTCGTGGGTGAAGTTTGCTTCGGAGTAGATGGGCATGTCGATTCGGTTGGCTTTCTCGGGACTGTCGAGGTTGTTTACCAGTGGAAGGAGATCGGGTAGACCATTGTGCACGGTGCGAAAGGCTCCTGCGGTAAAGTAGCTGTTGCCGCCGGCCCAGGTTGAGGGACATTTGTCGATTAGGACTATGTCTGCTGCTGGGTTTGTTTGGGCAGCAGAGAGGGCGGCGGAGAAGCCTGCGTTGCCGCTGCCTATGACGAGGATGTCGCAGGATGCGGGGATACTCACAGTCATGATGAAGATTAAAGAGGAAGGTTTATGATTGAATCTTGGATTTCTGTGAATTGAACTCGCTGAGGTGCAGCGAGTTGAATTTATATAAGTTTTATACTTCTGAAATTGTAAGTGATGTCGGAGAGTTACCGTCCGGGGAAGCCCCACACCTCCCCCGCGGACGGAGAGTCACGTTCCGTTGGCTGCAACTTCAAGTTGAAGGTGCATTTGGACCTTTGAAGTCGACGAAGCCTATAGAATGTGGTGTGCACAATCGTAGCTGTTAATACTGTGATTAAATTCCAACTCAGATATTCTTGTAACGAGTGTAGTAAAAATTGGTCTTGGCTCGGGAAAGGTGGACATACTAACCAGACTTCGAACTTGAACATTAACTTGATAGATTGGGATTGCTTTCCCTAGATTACTACACACCGCTGAAGGATAATACCGCTGAGAATGTGAAAATTGGGTGACAATTATGATACTGAATTGATAGTCTAAATGGCTGGTCCAACATCCCACCAGCGCAGCGCAACACCGCAGTGGCACCAAATGCAGAAGAAATGAACGACCACCCAGAACGCCGTTATTTGTGATTAATATCCGTGATGAGAGGTCGTCCCATGAGGTCGACGTCAATGTCGATGTCGATGATAAGTGAACTGTACAGCACCAGGCATGTCCCAGCTCTTCCCGAATAGCTCGGATTTAATTGATGCGGTCCAGCTTGGCCCGGTTCATAGCAATCTGATCGTCGACGTAGTCGCTCTGTAGAAGAAATTGGTCAGAAAAATAGTCAAGGAGTATGAAGGAAGTCTCCGAGTACTAACCTTGCCAGTAATACGATCCAAGTGACGGTTCTGCTCGTCAAGCTCCTTGCCGGTGGCCTTGGCAAGACCGTTCAGCCGGCCAGCGGCACCACCGAGCAGGTCCAAGTTCTGTTCGATTTCGTCTTCCATCTGTTCATCCTCACTGTCGGCCTCGAACTGGTACTTGGCTCGCTCGGTGACATTGGCCTTCTTGCCCTTGCTTTGCTTGGCCGCATCGCGGTCGATATCACGGAAGACACGGTCCATACGGGCATTGGTCTGGTAGGCTTCATTGCGGGTTCCGGTACGTTGATCACGCTCCTCGCGGTGCGTGTTGAGGATTCGCTCGTCGCGCTCACGGCGGCGCGAAGCGCTGGTAAACGGATTGGACACGTGCACAGCAAACATGCTTCCGTTGAGGGTCTTCAATTCTCGAGCCTTTTCTTGCGCAAGACGGCCCTCCACTGAAGCCATGTCCAGGTTCTTCTCTGCGCCATGGACCATCTCACCCTGTGCACCCAGGCGGGCCAGAGTTGAACGACCAGTTTCCTCTGCCTGAGCTGCAACACGGAGGGCGTTCCGGGTGGAGGCAACATCGCCCTGTTTCACGAAGCGCATTTCTTGCTTGGTAGCCTGAACCTGTTCCTCCTCTTCTTCCTCCGCTGTCAACTGTCGGTCTTGGTAGGTGGCCATGCTGTACTCATTGCTGCCGCCACCGTAGTTGGTCGGCTGGTCGTTGGAGTATGGAGGCGGGGCGCCAGATTGGGGTGTCTCTTGGCCACCGTTACTGGCACCACCACCACCACCACCACCACCACCACCACCGAAAAGCTCATTACGAGCGGCATCGGCATTGGGATCGTTGGGGTCGGTGCTGCCTAGACCTCCATAGCCTCCATATCGTGAGGCGCCGGCGCCGGCGCCAACGCCAGAACTCCCGCTTCCGCTGCCAAATCGGTCACTGCCATATCCTCCCTGGTTACCATAGCGGTTGGGAGTATATCCTCCTCCCTGGTACTTATTATCACCTGGGATATCGTGGGGTCCTCCTGCGGGGGAGGGGGATCCCATGCCACCCGCCGGGAGGGGAGCTACACCGGCGTTGATCTTGGCCTTGGTGTAGGCATCGAGAGGGACAGGTTGGGCGTAAGGGTTGGTAGACTGCGCGGGGCTCTTGTTCTTTGATCGACCGAAAAGACCACGACGGGTGGACTCTTCGGAGTCGGCATCGGATTTATCGGATTTCTTGAAGATTCCCATGACGCAGGCGGGTATGAGGTGGGATTTTTCGAGGTAGGACGCTTTTGAGACGAATCAATAAGACTGGGATTCGGTGATGTGATGGGATGTGATATTCAGCTGATCAAACGGGGAAAGGAAATTAAAGGGAAAGAGAAGGGGAGGAGTGCGAGGCGAGAAATGTTTCGATTGAATTAATTGATTGGCGCCTCAGGGGAGCGCAGCGGCGGCGATGGGATGTGCCGTATACAACAAATAAGAGCGTGACGGGTGTGACAGGCAGAAAAAGTGGCAATTTTGGTCAGATTACCGCATTCATACATCAGTACAGCTGACTCAGCCCCGTCCTCCCGCTAGTCCCAAAGAAAGCAGCTACGCCTCTCCGCCCAACGCTATTTTTGGTGGTTTGGCTGCTTTCGCTTGTTGCCTGCCACTGTCACTGCCACTCTCCGCCCATCTTGACTTCGCCCCTTTCCTCGCTCAGATGGCACCCCAGGGAGATGCCGACTATTGCAGAGATCAGGCCCGCAGGGAACTGCTAGCCCTTCTTGAAGGCGTGAGTACGGTACTCTCTTACCATCCCCGAGCTCTCTGCTAATGCTGCCTAGGCTCGGGGAAAGAAGAACCTCGTCATCAGTCAGGAGCTGGCAGGTCCAGTCGGCCTCTTCGTCAAATTCTCCGAACTGCAGCAGTATGGCGTAGACCGGATCTTCCTGTTGGAAAATGCAAACATCGATTCGTCGCAGCGCAATGTCGTCTTCTTGGTTCGTGGTGAGAAGGCTCACCACATCCGGACCGTCGCAGGTACGTGACTTCTTCGCCCTTTTCCTGTCTGCTGCCATTGCATCGTTTTACCCCCACCCCCTGTCTTGTTGGGAATTCAGCAGTTACGTATGAGCTTCCATCTCTACGTAATCGGTTGTGGCTTCGGCCTACGCTCCCTAGATTGAAATCTGGTCATTTTTCGCTCATTTATCTGGCTTTCATCAAGTTGCCCGCCGATCGATAGTCATCAGATTGAGCTAACATCATCTCTCTTTTAGAACAAATCAAACGCCTACAGAACAATGGCAATGTCCAGCATGAGTTCTCTATTCTCCTCACCCCTCGACGCACCCTCGTAAGCAATGCCGTCCTGGAAGGCGCGGGAATCATCGGAGATGTCACAATCGTCGAGTTCCCACTCCACTTCTTGCCGCTGGAACAGGATATCTTATCACTAGAATTAGACGATGCCTTCGGTGACTTGTATCTGGTAAGTGATTTAACCCTTGCCGCGCTGTGAAGTCCTCGCTGACCCCCCTTAGAATAAAGACCCCGGCTGCATTTTCCATGCCGCCAAGGCACTAATGGGAATCCAACAGAGACACGGGTACTTTCCGCGTATCGTAGGCAAAGGCGATAATGCGCGTCGTCTAGCAGACCTTCTGCTGCGGATGCGGAAGGAACTGGATGCCGAAGAGAGCTCTGGACTGGCCGATACCTCCATGCGAGGTCTTCTTCCAAGCGCTGACACGGAGAATCTGATCATCATCGACCGTGAAGTCGATTTTGGAACGCCACTACTAACACAACTCACATATGAGGGCTTGGTAGATGAATTTGTGGGCATCAAAAACAACCAAGCCGAAGTGGAGACTAGTATCGTCGGCCAGGCTTCAGGGCCACAAGCTCAAGAATCATCCAAGACACCCCAGCAGGCCAAGCAAGGATTGAAGAGAAAGATTCAACTCGATGCGTCGGATCAATTATTCAATCAATTACGAGACGCCAATTTTGTTATTGTCGGCGACCTCCTGCACAGGGTGGCCCGCCGCCTGGAAACTGAATATGAGACACGCCACTCGGCCAAGTCTACGCACGAACTCCGCGAGTTCGTTAACAAGTTACCGACTTACCAAATAGAACACCAAAGCCTTCGGGTTCATACTAATCTTGCCGAGGAGATCATGAGGTTGACTCGCTCCGAGACCTTCCAGAAGATGCTGGAGATCCAGCAGAACAGCGCAGCAGGCATTGACCCCACGAATCAGCATGAGAACATTGAAGAGCTTATTGCGCGAGACGTGCCTTTAAAAAATATACTCCGATTGCTGTGCCTGGAGTCGTGCATGAACGGTGGACTGCGCCCCCGCGACCTGGAGAACTTCAAGAGACAGGTTCTGCAAGGTTACGGTCATCAACATCTCCTCACTTTCTGGGCACTGGAGAAGATGGAACTCTTGCAACCCCGGTCCTCGGCTACTGCTATGCTCCTCCCAACATCTGGTGCACAGGCAGGCACCAAGACGAATTACGGATATCTTCGAAAGAATCTACGACTGGTGATTGAAGATGTCAGTGAGAAAGAACCCAATGATGTCTCCTACGTTTACAGTGGATTTGCTCCCCTCAGCGTACGGCTGGTCCAATGCGTTCTGCAAAAACCTTACATGCTGTCCCTCATCAAGAATGGTACACCGGTTGCAACAGTAAACAACGCCAGTGCGGCGTCACCCGGCTGGCTCGGGTTCGAAGACGTGGTCAAGAGTGCTCGTGGTGCCACATTCAGTATCGTTCAAAAGGGCGATGACAAAGCTATTCGAGCCCGACAGACGATCAGTGGAAACAGCAGCCCGAAGAATGTCTATGTATTCTTCTTAGGTGGCATTACCTTCACCGAGATTGCTGCGCTACGGTTTATCGCAGCCCAGGAGGCTCCGCGTCGGAGAATTATTATTTGTACCACGGGAGTTATTAGTGGTGACCGTATGATGGACGCTGCCATTGAGAAAGGTAGCTTCGCCAAAACGGAATAAATAACCTATCCATCATGGCCTCAAATCTAGTTCTATCTAGAATAATATCACGACACGACATTTCTCAAAGTAAATTCTTTTTCATACTAAGTATGAGTAATTGGCTCTAGTATTTTATCTGGATTCCAAGTTTCAATACTTGAAGCCCGAGTTGACGCCCATCAATCGACCTTGATACCGCTCCATAACCTCTCCAAGTCGGACCATAACTCCAGCGGAAAGTGTCCTGACTTGCTCGTTTGGATCGGCTGTGGCACTGAGATTTGATTTATCGCTGGAGGGTGTGCGGTCAAAGACCTCGGAGGCCCATTCGCGTAGCTCGATCACTTGCGCTGCATACTCAGTAACCAGACGCTCCTCACCGTTGGAGCCGGAAGCGATGTTCAAGTCCACAATTGCGAGAAAGAGATTTAGCAGTGCGGCAGCAACAGTCGGTTCACTTGACGTGGGGCTCGTGTGTAGGGAAAGAAGCAGGGAGAGTGTTTCATGGGTCAAGCCCGGTAAGAATGGAGTATGAGGGCCTGCCGTCGAGACGATAAGAGAAACCGTCTGGAGGAAAAGGGTTAGGATGTGCGGAACGAAGAATGGGTTGTATGAAGGCGCAGATGATCTGGACTCAGTTAGTGACGACATTCTCCAACGGTAGCAAAGCTTAACGACTCACGAGGAGAACTGTAGCATCATGATTTCGAAGCGTCCTTGAAGAGGATAGAAGAAGCCCTCAGCAAGAACCTTGTTCAAGTCTTTCACCATGCCTTTTTGTCTTTGGGCATCACGATCCTGGCGCTTCTTTTCGACCTCCATGCGCGATGAAAAAGTGCGCACTTTTAATGCGCTGGGGCCGGCAAGCTCGTCTGCAGCGTTAGCAGCCAATGGCTGTAACGACGCCTGCGACATCTTCTGGGTCAATTTTGCGATTGGGGACTCGTTATCTGGACCCATGAACATAGCCTCCAATGCAGGCGATAGCCTTTTTGAAGGGAACGAGGTGTCCTGTAGCTTCGGGAGACTCAAAGCTCGAGAATCATCTTCTCCGTTTCCAGCTACTTCGCGAGCACTTAAGCCCAGGGCTGTAAGTACTGCAGATCGCTGGACCTGGGAGAGATCGCCGTCGAAAAAGATTGCAGTGAACCAGCGGCCCATTTTGAGGGGCTGCGAAACAATCAATGCGATCATGCTTTGAAGACGGGACTCGTGGAACTGCGGGTGTTTGTTGTCGTTGTTAAGGCCTACTATGATCAGAGCCAATTCCTCGATTTGCTCAGCAAGCTCGCTGCCAAAGCCAGTTTTGCGGCGAATCAAAGATGGAGCGGTGGTAATTGCAAGCTGATGACGTTCCACGTTCTCGGTATCTCGTAGGTAAGTGATGAGATCTCGTATATATCTAGGCATTGATTAGTGATGTCCTCATCTCGAATATCAATGGGTGACTTACACAGGGGCAATGGGCTTGTTTCGTTGGACAAGTGTTGGATCTTCATCGTCGTCGTCCTCGTCGTCATCAGGTTTTTCGTAGGGAATTAGATCTTCGTCTTCATCACTTGCATCACTACTGTCATCGATTTCTTCGATAGCAACGATCTTACTCCTTTGCTGTTGCCCTGGACGTGGTTGCGGTCGTTTGTCGCTGTTTACCCGAGCTCCCTTCTGGGGTTTCTGGTGTGTCATTGATTGTTGCGCCTGTAGTGCTTTGATGGATTCACGCGGCCCGACCTTGTCTTGCACTTTAGTGAGACTAAGGTACCAGCGTGCTTCCTCACTCCGCATCTCTTCGAGGTCAAATTTGAGTGATTTTCCTGGCTCTTCAATGATCTCAGATATCGCGGTGCCAACAATCATGCCGAGGAACCGCGCCCTATTTGACGATGCTGCCAGTCTGTTAGAGACTGCGTTGAGGAAAACACCAGTGCGACCGATATCCCTGACTTGTGAGGGGTCAAGTTGTCTCAAATGACCAGCTGTGAGAAGTATGGTTTGGGCATTGGCTGCAATATTTTGTCAGTCTCGAAATAAATGTAACTAGGATCCAGTATTGACACACCATTTTGGGTAATGAGGGAACGTGTTTGATGCCAAACTTGTCACCAAAATTTTCGAGGCTACGCACAAATAGTGATTTAAGAGAATCTGCTTGAATTGGTTAGACTTATACCTCCATACAAAATGAGAAAACGTACAACTTGAGTCGTGGTAGGAGGCCAAAAGTGCTCGACGCAAACCTATGGTCTGTATTGAGCCGCCTTGACTCTTAGATAGCCATTCCGAGGTTTGATTTTTTAGAAGAGACCGATCGCCAATAATCGCAGAGCACAAAGCCGCCACTCTGGAGACAATTTCGGTGTGCGTGGCTAGCTGTTCAGGGTCTTCTGAATGCTCTGCTGAGAAATAACGCTTCTGGATATCGCGGAATATTGCCTCGAGCATGACGAGTTGTTCTGACTGCCGAAGATGGTCTAGAAGCAGACCAAATCTATCCACGAGTTGTTGATCAAGAAGTAGGGCTGAGTATATTTCTCGTACGAGCTGATCTATAAAGAGGTTAGTATGCCATGTAGTTTGTAGTGATTTGTCATGCGTGCCTGCATATCCCAAACTTAGACCCCGGCCTGTCAAGAAAGCGAGAGATCCCCAGCCGCTTTCGTCGTCCACTTTGAGCTTCGAAGCCATATAAGCAATGTTATTACCGAGCCATGATGTATAGCGAGAGCCTTCGCCTGTCCAAGAAATTGAGGATGGAATTTCAGATTCACCAGAGACAGTAAGCGCCTCGGCTGCTGTTGAGAGGACTTTGCCAGCGCCAACAAGAGACGCTAGCTCCCGCCACGCAACCTGCTCTTTTGTTTTATTGCCATGGAGAGCTGAAATATCTGAATAAAGACGGAACAAAAGATCCCTAGGTTCCAATAAAGAAGCAAGAACGGAAAGAAGATCTCGAACCGCAAGCGAGGAACTTGAGCCTTCTGCTTGTTGGGCATTGGCTCGGGCTGATGCGATTTGAGATCGAAGCTGAGTGATGAGGGACCCAAGACCTGCCACGCTGCTGAGGCATCGTAAAATAGCTGCACGGGTCTTGGTTTCCTTCGACGTCTTGACTTTTTTATCCAGTGATGCCCAATGATCCGGGATGGTGGTGCTGACTAAAAGTCGGAGGATTTGAGCCGTTGTTGGACTGGGAACTCGAATGTCAAGATCTTGAATCTGTCTGAATGTGTTGAAAGGGTCGATAGCAGATAGCGTAATGAATAGTTCGTCCCGATCAGGATGGGAGCCCAGCACATCTAGAGCCTGTTGTGAAGATATATCATGTTGATCAAAGTCAATGGTGGGTTTGGTGGGATTCTCGCGAGCCTGAACCTCACTGGCAGCAGCGACCAGGGGTGAGTTCTGATCTCGCTTCACAGTTTTAACAGCGGTTAATAGGCCATCCATTGTGAGAGTTGGATCATTGAGAAGATGTTGAAACCTTGAAGCCGCTGTTCCACCTCAAGCTTAAGTTGTATGCGGGCCACCAACCACAGTCACGTGGCCCGTGCCTGCCTTGCCCACCAACACCAACACCAACACCAACTTGAACGCCGCCATGTCATCTCCATCCTCTCTCCACCATCACAACTTTCTTCTTGCCCTGGAGAGAAACCTCCAATATTCGAGACATAGAAGACAAGAGTGAATTTTTGTGAACACATTCTGACAGAACTTTCCCAGAATCCCCAAAATACATCGTTCCCTGCGAAGTGGGACTACACCCCCATCACTTCTAAAGAATCCGCGCGTGCACGCCAAGTGGACGATTTATGATTGGTATCGAAATGACAACATCGAGTGCGAACATGAAAGGCAAACAGGGCCAATGGTGAGATTTAACAGAAGTTTCCTAGTCTTCTCCGGTCTTGGGAATATGTTTACTAACCTCGTACAGGCAGCATCTCTATAAGGTCTTGTCGAAACCTGGTCCCTACAGTGATGAAGATTGGGTCCCTGGCGTGGAGACAGTCAATGCTCTAGAATCTTCGAAAATCTTGTAAGATGATTCACAGCTAGCTGTGTCGAAGGGAAGCGCTAACTAATTATGAATAACAGAGTGATGTTTGTCTCAGCATGAGTCTTATCTGTTCGAAAGTGAAGCCCAGACTAACCCATGTATCTAGTGGAGCTGGTGGACTAGGATGTGAAATATTAAAGAATCTGGCACTATCGGGATTCAAAGACATTCATGTCATCGACATGGGTATGCTCTTCCTTGGCTATTCGTTGGTCACCCGACTCTAACATGATAGGCAGACACCATTGATATCTCAAACCTCAACCGGCAATTTCTTTTCCGTCAGGCTGATATAGGCAAACCAAAAGCAGAAGTTGCCGCGGCGTTCGTGGAGAAGCGTGTCAAAGGGGTCAAGATCACACCCTTCGTTGGTAAAATCCAAGACAAAGATGAAGATTACTATATGCAATTCAAAATCGTCATCTGTGGTCTCGACAGTATTGAAGCTCGTCGTTGGATCAACTCGACTCTGATCGGAATGGTCGACCCGGAGGATCCGGAGAGCTTGAAGCCCTTGATCGATGGCGGAACTGAAGGTACGCTTTTCACGAGAAGACTATATGATGATGCAGTCTAACTGTGGACTAGGTTTCAAGGGCCAGGCCCGTGTTATTCTACCTACACTATCTTCATGCATTGAATGTCAACTTGATATGCACGCGCCTCGACCCGCAGTCCCGCTTTGCACGATTGCTACCATCCCGCGTCAGCCCCAACACTGCATCGAATGGGCCCACCAGATTGCGTGGCAGGAAAAACGCAAGGATGATTCTTTTGACAGTGATGACATGGAACATATTTCCTGGGTGTACAATGCTGCTCTACAACGGGCGCAGCATTTCCACATCCATGGTGTTACTTTCCAAATGACCCAAGGCGTGGTGAAGAACATCATTCCGGCCATTGCATCCACCAATGCAGTGATTGCAGCATCCACGACCTCAGAGGTGCTGAAGATTGCGACATCATGCAATCCTTACCTCGAGAACTACATGATGTATGCCGGCGAAGAGGGAGTATACACCTACACGTTCGAGGCCGAGAAAAAGCCCGACTGCCCTGTCTGCGGTAACCTTGCACGGAAGATGACTGTAAATGCGGACATGACGCTGGGTGATTTTATTGATAGTCTTGGAGAGAGAGCTGAAGCGCAGTTGAAGAAGCCTAGTCTGCGGACGGAGGAAAAGACTCTGTACCAGCGCTTCCCACCTCAGCTGGAGGAGCACACCAGGCCCAATTTGCGACTGAAGCTACGAGAGCTCCTCGAAGATGGCGAGGAGGTTGCTGTCAGTGATCCAGCATACACCATCGACTTCCGATACAGGCTAAACTTTCAATAAACTTTCCGTGTGCTGTTATTCTAGGCACGAGAAAAATACAATGAAACGACTGGAATGATTTTGAGATATAGCTTTATTCAAGTCTCTGGGAATTCATTTCCAAAGATAGCCACCTGCCCTCATTGATCTAAAACCAAGTAATATCCGGACTCCGGCCTCGTAAAGCCAACTTCTTGACCGAACTTTTTTTTCGTAAATGTACAACGCGAACGAAGCTCGAAAATTTCCAACGCCAGTGAAATGCATTATGAAGGTTATAACAGCGAGATTTGAAGGAACCCGCGGCTTTATGCCATGAGATCGTTCAAGCCACGCTTCCAACGCGCGCACTTCAGCTTGAGAACCTTGACGGATTCCAGGAAGAGGGTATCGCTCTCGAATTGACCGGTGCTCTCCACGTTGAAGATGAAGTGGTCGCGGATACGGCCGAGCTTGACCTTGCCTTGGAACTCCTCATGGCGCAAGCATTCACGGCTGACGGTGTCGTTGAAAGCATCACGGACGACAGCCTTTTGCTCACCAGCGTGGCCCTCATAGCCACTGCCCTTACTCGAAGCCTCGGCAGAGGTGACAGGCTCCAGAGCAATGACACCCTTGGGGAAGCACTTGGCAAACTTCTTGGCATCATCTCCAATGATGGGGCGCAGAATATTGATATCCGGCATGAGACGGTAGGAAGCGGTTGCAACGGGGGAGAACTTGGCGTGGTCGGCTCCGATACCCTTGATACAGTGGAGTTCCATATCGATCTTCTGACCGGGGCGCATCTTGGCGATCAAGATGTCCGGGTTGACAGGCTGGATGGCACCATCGCCAACGAAGTATTGATCCTGACGGCCGACGGGGGCGAAGGAGATATCCTTGGCGTAGACGTGGGCGTGGTTGTAGAGCTTGCGGGGGTCCTCTTCGTCCGGGTGGGCATTAGCATTCTTGGTACACTCGACCACCAAATGCATGACAACGGTGTTGAAATCGGAGGGACCATCATCCTCGGAAGCTTCCTCATCTTCAGCGGGCTTCCGGTACCAGCGCATCCAGTTGATTCCGTCCACTGAACCCTTCAGCGGGATCAGACCCAGACGCTGGGCGAGCACTTCGTCCTGGATCACGGAGGTGTTGTTGTGAACGAAGACGTATTCAATGGCCAGAGTAGGGATCTCTGCCATGAGGATGCGGCGAAAGGCATTGGCGACCGCGGCGTCCAGGCCGATCAGCGAAAACGAGGCCTCGTGGGGATCATTGCGGTGATAGTCGACCTTGAAGTTCTATAGTCGGAAAGAAGCGGTTAGAAAATAGCTCCGATGAGCAATGGGCTAGAAGCGGAAGATTGACATACTTCCTTGAATTGATCAAGGGCCCAGCCGTGTGACTCTCCGGGCCAATGGCCAGGGAAATCTGTGGAGGGGATGTTGGTGACAGTCTCTGCATTGATGTCGATGATCTGGGCGATGGATTAATATTTGCGAATGGGAGAAGAAGAAGAGGGAAAATCTGGACTCACACGACGACGCTGCAGCTCCTCCTGCGACGCGACAAGAGGTGCCATGGTGGGCGAGCTAGAGGGGACGGGTGAAGGTAGAGGTGAAGGTTGATCGGCGATAAGAATAATTTCTCATGAGGGTCACAACCCGTCGGCCTCAAAAAGTATTTCCGGTGGCCTGAGGCAGAAATGGCAGAAATGGGGTGGGCATTTAAAAAAAGAGCAAAATGACACCTGGGGCCACCAGGGAGAGCGGTAAACAGGAACTAGTCTAACCTAATATGGAATAGCGCCAACTATACTGGGTGCAGAATAGGTGGGGTCAGACTGACCAATCAAATCCGCACTGATGACCGGGCAGCTGGTAGCACGTGACTTGTAAAATGGAGCACGACGTGCAAGACGGACCTCGTCTCCTACGCAGGTTCCTTCCGCCCAGCGTGCCCACTCCGCCTCCAATCCATTGAATGCGCCTGGTCTGAGGCCCAGATTCCTTTCCTCGACCCCCCCGGACCTCTCCTCTCACTTTCCCCCATGGCCGCTTCATTCACCCGCCTCGCGGGCAATGCGCCCAAAAGGCTCTGCCTCCGCCCCTCCAATGTCCTGAACACATCTGTGCCTCGCTCCCGCTCAATTGCGACCACACTCCCTCGCCAGCAGGCTGAGGCGACTAGCTATCAGGCTACACGACTCATTCCGACTGACCCGATGTTCACTCATCTTGCCAACAAGCCCGCTACCTCACCCCCGGACGAGCCCGCTGGCCTTGAATCCGAAGCTAAGAGCTTGAAGGGTCGCAAGATTCGCCACTACACCGTCAACTTCGGTCCTCAGCATCCTGCTGCTCACGGTGTGCTTCGTCTGATTCTGGAGCTGAACGGCGAGGAGATTGTTCGCGCCGATCCCCACGTCGGTTTGCTGCACCGAGGAACCGAGAAGTTGATCGAGTACAAGACCTATATGCAGGCCCTGCCTTACTTTGATCGTCTTGACTACGTTTCCATGATGACCAACGAGCAGTGCTTTTCACTCGCCGTTGAGAAGCTGCTGAACGTTGAGATCCCTGATCGTGCCAAGTGGATTCGGACCCTGTTCGGCGAGATTACCCGTATCCTTAACCACCTGATGTCCGTTCTATCCCACGCAATGGATGTTGGTGCCCTGACTCCCTTCCTGTGGGGTTTCGAAGAGCGTGAGAAGCTCATGGTAAGTTTGCCGGAAACCCGGAGTTTCGTCGGGAAAGTAATCGGCAATGTGCTAACTCTTACTTTGTGTTATAGGAGTTCTACGAACGTGTTTCCGGTGCCCGTCTCCACGCCGCCTACGTCCGCCCCGGTGGTGTCTCTCAAGATATTCCCCTCGGCCTGCTCGACGATATTTACCAGTGGGCCACCCAGTTCGGTGACCGTATCGATGAGACCGAGGAACTTCTCACAGACAACCGTATCTGGAAGCAGCGTACCCAGGGTGTCGGTGTTGTCAACGCTCGCGATGCTCTCAACATGAGCTTCACTGGTGTCATGCTCCGTGGTTCAGGTGTGCCGTGGGATATTCGTAAGTCCCAGCCTTACGATGCCTATGACCAGGTTGAGTTCGATGTCCCCGTTGGTGTCAACGGTGACTGCTACGACCGTTACCTCTGCCGTATGGAGGAGTTCCGTCAGTCCCTTCGCATTATCCACCAATGTTTGAACAAGATGCCCGAAGGCCCCGTCCGTGTCGAGGACTACAAGATCTCTCCCCCCTCCCCGTGCCGCCATGAAGGAGAACATGGAGGCTCTGATCCACCACTTCCTGCTCTTCACCAAGGGTTACTCTGTGCCCCCTGGCGAGACTTACTCCGCCATTGAGGCCCCTAAGGGTGAGATGGGTGTTTTCCTGGTCAGTGATGGCAGCGAGCGCCCTTATCGCTGCAAGATCCGTGCTCCTGGCTTCGCCCACCTGGGTGGTTTCGACCAAGTCTCCCGTGGTCATCTTCTGGCTGATGCCGTCGCTATTATCGGTATGCATTTCTTCTCTTCACAATCTTGGCTCATCGTCTTTTCATCATGCTAACTCTAAATTAGGTACCATGGATCTGGTGTTCGGTGAAGTCGACCGGTAAAGCATCCTCGCAACGCAATAATACAAAAAATCATACCAAAAAAACAGGAAGAAGACTATGAAATGGCCTCCCTTTTTAGACGGCTTCTGTGCCATTCATTTTAGGGTTCAAAAACAGAGAGCAGGGATCTATCGACTCAATCTTCTTTCTCTCCGTGATTAACCCTTGGAACCCTCGACTCTCACCCAGGTGTACCAAATCCTCCATGTTTTCTCCCCATGGCGTTGTTTTATTATGTCCTGTCAATTTCCTTTTGTCTCTTTTCTGCCTCCTACCCCCCATCAGCCCCTGTGTATAGTGAACATCCGAATTTTTCCGAGACATGCTTTTTACTCTATTTTCCCGGTTATATCTCGTAGAATGACGTGGAGATCCCATGGTGCATTGTTTGTTTCTGGCGGGTAATTCGATACTGGATGCTTTTGACCTAGGGAACTTGAAATATATCGGCGGGACCTGACGAGTCGCTATGATTGGCGAGATCGCCTATATGACCGTATGAGGGTTCAATGTGGATCTGGAGAGGCAAAGAGGTGACAAATCAGACAAATCATAGCCCGACTTACGACCTCTGTAACTTTGACTCAAGAACAAACACTCGTTGAATTTTTGCAGAAGGGGAACACGTTGCACGAGCATTTCAATGAAGATCCCTGAAGGAGGGCCCGAGTGTCAGAACTTGAATTCACACCATGGCGGCTCCGGCTCCCAACGGGATCTCTATCGAAACCCATTTCAATTCCGGTAGCCCCCGCCGGAGGCGCGATGGCTGTACCGAATGTCGCAGAAAGAAAGTTAAGGTATTGAGACTTTGCTATATACTGTTGTAACACTAGGTAATAACTGACTGGCATGCATAGTGCGATCTTCAGAAGCCCGTATGCTCGCGATGCATCCGGTTTCCCAGACAATGTTCCTACGACTTGAGTATCATTGCTCTAAAGCCACAGAGGCCAAGAACACCGCGACGAAATGGCAGAGAAATCTCTTCTCCTGCCCCCAAAGACTCACATTTGTCGTTGAAATCCATGCCCCTGGTTTATCAACCTCCAATCAACCCGTCCCCATTCTTGTCATCAAACGAATCCAGATTTTTGATGCATATCTTTGGCACCCAGACCGCGAAGATGCTATTTCCAGCAGCTCCGGACTTCTTTCTCCAAAGGATGATTGGTGCTGCCATGGAAACTCCTCACTTGCTCTACGCTCTTCTGGCGTCTGCATGCAGTCACCACAGTCGTCTTATCAAAGACTCAACTCCGAACCCAAAGGTGACTTGTCTGAAATATACGAACATGGCGATATCTAGTTTGCGCGAGACGCTTCAAGATGCAAACCAGTCGCTCAAAGCTGAAACAATTACAACGGCAATGGCTTTGTGTACGAATGATGTCTGCAATGGAAACATGCATGTTTGGCGAACACATCTCCGTGGTGTCCTTCGTTTGCTGGCTGCGTGTCTGCAGCACCAAAGAGAGACATACGCCACCGACGATCCATTCTTGCTATCATTAGCCAAGTGGTTCAAGACTATGGATATCATCGCAGCCTTGTCGGGACTTGACGGAGAGTGCATTCACGATCCCGAGGATGGACCGTTGGATAGAGGTTCGATCTTGGGAAATGACTTCGTTGATAACATCTGCGGCTACTCAATCGACCTGATTCCGTACATGGCACGGATATCTCACATGGTCCACTCTAAAAGGCCCGAGAATAGGCCTGCGAGCACTAGCCTCGGTGAAGTGGCATCACCTCAGATGATTACCAAGGTAGAAGTTCTCGAAAGCGGCATAATGTCTTTGATAGACAAGCCTATTTCTGATCCAACATTCCGGGAAGGTGAAGCCTTTGCCACCGAGTTGAGAAGCACACATCTTGCTTTTGTGCATTCTGCTTTACTGCACCTCCACCGCCGAGTCCAGCTGCTACCAATAAATCACGCCAAAGTCAGATTAGACATCCAGAATATCCTCGACGCTGTTCGAAATATCAATCCCACATCAACGGCAAATATCTTGATCTTATGGCCAGTGTTCAGCGCAGGGTGCGAGACGACTATTTCCAGTGAACGAGACATGATACGAGAGCGAATGGGCATAATGCAAAACTTCGGAATGGGAAACTTTACGAGAACTCGTGATCTTCTGGAAAAGTTCTGGAAATCCGGCAGCGAGTTACGGTGGGATGAATACTTTGCACGACTTGGGCTTGAGCTGGTCCTCTTTTAGCCATACGATAATAACGAATTAATGGAAATTGGAATACTGTCAGTCACTACTAGTATGTACCAAACCCAACCCGATCGCACTCATTTAGTTGCAAGAGGTACACTCTCGAACCCATTCTCCATGAATTCCCGCAGAGCTTTCAATCCGTCCACCAATACCTGTCGCTCAGGAACATATCCCACGCGAACATAACCTTTAAAGTCCTTTCCGTCCCCAAAGCACTGGCTACCAGGAGCCAACATAACCCCATTTTTCTCGTAAAGGTGTTGGCAAAATGCCACATCGTCAACGGGGACTCCATTCTTGATGAACTTAATGAAAGCAGTTGTTCCAGCCCGGGGGCGGACCCACGTCGCCATGCTCTCATAATCACGGACAAACTCTTCCAAATCCTTCAGATTCTGCCGTGCAAGATCTGTATTACGCTTGAGTAGGTTTCCAACGCATGATGTGGACAATGCATGCGTCGCGACGCTGTCATCGAGTTGCCCAACCGAGATCAGGGTGTAGTGACGCGCGTCTGCGCAGGCTTCGATGATCTCGGAGCTTCTGGATGCGACCCATCCAAGTCGAATACCTGCCAAGCTGAACGCCTTGGACATTGAGCTCGTTGAAACTGTCTTTTCATACCCGAAGTCTAGGATAGATGGCGGGTTTTCTGGCACTTCTGGGCCCAGGAATGGAATAGTGGTCGGTAAACCTCGTCGCAATGAATCGTAATGTTGTGTTGTTTGGCAATATTGACAATCTCCTGTAGCGTCTCACGTTCAATGATAGCGCCAGTTGGATTTTGAGGATTACTGACAAGGGTTAGTAGAGTTTACTAGGAAAGGTATTTAAGGGTGGGGGATTCTCACTTGATGATGATCAGCTTAGTGTTTGGCTGAATAAGAAACTTCAGCTCTGCCAGATCCAACTTCCAATCATTTTCCTCTGAAGACTTCCAAAGAGACACTTCTGCTCCAAAGGATTTTGGCACAGAATACAACTGCTGATAGGTCGGGTAGTGACAGATGACATGGTCTCCCGGGCCGACGCTAGAATAGAGAGCGAGGAAATTGGCCTGAATAGCTCCATTGGTGACAAGTACATTCTCAGAGGTCAAAGGGGTAGTCGAGTCACTGGAATTGTATAATTTTGCAATATTCGAGCGTAGAGCCTTTGAGCCGCGAATTGCACCGTAGGTCTGCTTATGCGAGAAATCTATAATATCCGTCTCCTCTCCCGAGAGGGACTGGACATCTTTGAGAGAGAGGGATGCGCAGCAGGTCTCAGCCAGATTATGCTTCGCATTGCCCTCATAAAGATCCATCCACTTGAGGGGTTAGCAGAGGTCATCTTTCTTTTGGGGAAGTGGATTCTTACCTGCTCCACGGCAAATGTTTCGATTTTGACCATTTTGGCTTGATTCTGTACGCTTGGTATATTGATAGATTATGAGAGTGAGGAAGTAAAATCCAAATCGGCTGAAAACTGGCCGCATTATATAGCTTCTCTTCCACCGCGTAGTCTTTGGGTCGTAGAAATGATTGGTCAAATCGCCTGGATTACCTCTTTGGGACGACCAGCCCCACCAAGTTGATACCTAGGTATGCCACCAGAATGTTCGAAAGCATTGACTCATGTTCAACCTGGGGCAGTCCGAGTCTGATAATACTATCTGGTTTTTAAGAAAAGGTGTAATTTAATTGAATATTTTACAGGGTCAAAGATTAAAACTCCCAAGAGCTACTAGTGATATAGAAAGTCTCTATTCCATTTGTACAATTTAGTATTTAGTATACATATCTCAATTTCTAGCAGTATGAAGCAACTCCTTAATAACATGTGCCAGCCTTTGAATCCCTTCAACTATCCTCTTCTCGTCCTCCCACATGAAACACAACCTCAAGCTTCGATGAAGTTCCTTTTCCGGAGATCTACTTCCAGGAACTTCAAATACATCGCCACACCCAAGAGTCAAATTTTGCGTCTCGGATGCTCTCCGACAGACCTCAGCCGCCATGAGAGGAGCGGGAAGCTTGAGCCAAACACAATACCCCCCAGATAATGCTGTGCCTGGCGCACTACTAATACTATCAGAAGACATCACGGCACCGAGAGGACTGAGATATTCCCTTATGGCAGAGAGAATGGCCAAATGTCGCCGACGACCCTGTGGGATAAGAACCGTCGCAATATGCTGTTCTATCATCTTACTCTCGAAAAGCTCATTGACAAAAGTCGACATGAGCTGGCATGGTGCACCGCCGGAAATATTTTGGCCCCTAGCAAGGTGTTTTTCGTTAGCCTGGGATTTAATTCGATCAACGTTTCTATATTTCCTTTCATGAAACTTGAAATTTGAAGCTTCAAGGGACCACACTGGAGCACATACGCTTGCGAAAGGCCATATGCAAACTTCGCCGTCCCTTCAGCCCACCCAACACGACAGCCTGGACCAATAAGTTTGCTAAACGTGCCGTTGCTGACCACATTCCCGAAGCAGTCTGAAGGACCTCCGTCGAGAGTGCGATCGATATCAACAAGGCGCTGGAAGGGGCTCGGAATAGATTTCACATCTTGCAGATCCCAACCGAGAAAGTCGTAGACATCGTCGCAGACGATAAGCGCGTCGAATTTCCGCGCAATTCTGACCAGTGACTCACGTCGTGAAGTAGTCATAGTAGTACCCGAGGGGTTCGAGAAGCTGGGGACGCAGTAGATGACATGTTTGTATATTTTGCGGTAGGATTTGTTGGGCTTGGAAGTTTTCTATCGTTATAGTTCAAGTTATTATACACTGTCTGTGCACTCTGGAAGGAACACGAATCTCTTACTTTATCGGCATCTGGAGTTGAATTGTCTTCCTCCTGGAATAACTCCAGAGCTCTCTCGAGAGCATTGGCATCCATACCCTCCTCATCCTCCGGTATTCCCCTCATCTGATCATGGAAACCCGCGTCCTCGAAAGTGCGAAAAACGAGATGATAGGTAGGTTCCACTAGCCAGACCATCCTGGTCTGAAGAGGATCAGTGAAGACCGTCAGAATGCTTGTTAGATTCTGACTTGCGCCGCCTGTGATGCAGAAGCGTTCTGCATCGATAGGCTGTTGGGTCCTATAAAAGTTTGATAACCAACTCGCTATATTCTGTCTCAATGGGAAATACCCCTCGTCAGGCCCGTACCCCAAACCGGGATCTGAGACGGTTTTATCAGAAAGAGCTTTGACAGCGGCATTTTTGAGATGTTCTGTTGGGAGGAGGTCTGGTGCTGGTCGTCCTTGGAACAGATCAATCGGCTCGAGAGGCATCATTTTGGCGGTGTATAGTAATGACTATTAATGTTTATCCGTTGGCTGTATTTTCACGTTAAATTGGGATATCCCCTTCTGCAGAATGTTCCTATCTTATATACCCCATACTCGTACACTTTGGTCCGTTGTCGGACCCACAGCACCTAGTTTGGGAGCCCAAGCGACCTGACGAATCAAACCCAGGGATTCTTGGCCTATCGAGTCAAATCAGCGGAGAAGGTGATCAATAATTTCTAAGCTTGAAAGGGAAGCTGTCTCCGATTCTTTCTAGTCCACAGCCTTCTCTAGTCTTCTCAGGTACTAGTATCTATTGATATTTGTAAGGCGGCTGGCAAAGCCAATACTTTGATCCACTCCAGAGAGATGGTCCAAAATGATTGTCTATATACCATGTAGTATGTAACTACAAATGATGATTTTTCTGAAAGAAAGGGTAAATTCCAGTGAAAGATAAATTCGCTGAGTAATATGTTATGTTTCAACCGTGACGCCGTCATAACCCTATAACCCTCCCACCCAACTTGACTCAATGGTCGACCGCAGATAAAATCCAGCGCCAGTAATGCAGAGACGGAAAATATGTAAGAAATAAAAGCGACCAGCTGTAAGGGATCCTCGGGGGTCTCTCCTGGACGACAACGAAGCCCTTCTTGAGGACGATCCACAGAATGTTGGCTCAAGACTAGTCACAGAGCTGCCGCACTTGATCGCTTGGTCGGATTATACGTTATCGTCTTCGTAGACAAAGGGAATGTCTCGGATTCGGCGTCGGTTGTATGCAACGAATTCGCTGTCACCTGGCGGGCGCTCATCTCGGGTGTTTGCCGTGAGCATGCTTTGGAGACTCATGCAGACGCTTTCCACAGTCTGGACAGGGGACCAGCCGGTCGTGCTGAGAAGATCAAGGCATATGATTCCATTACTGTAGATGTGTGGGTGCATTGGAATCGGGCGGGGGGTATCGGAAGTGGTGGGGACATCGATGAACTGGACTTCGGGGGGGCTCTGTAATTGCATTGTCATTAGTTGGAGGACATAAGTGAGAGGGGTCAGTGGTAGGTGTACCGATTGGGTATTTGTTATTGAAAGTGAATTTGAGTCGGTAGGTGTGGCCTTTGTAGAGAGGGTTTTCATCGAGAACTTTTATATCCATCTGCCATTCTTCAAGACTGTCTGACTTGACGATGGTGATCCCCGGTGGGACATGGTCTTGCATCTGGTAGGAGTAAAATGTGTCAGGAAAAGGGTTGTTGTAATATTTTGAGTCCATGGTGTTCGCGGCAGGCAGAGAGAAAGGCAGGCAGGTTCAAAGGGGGCGAAATGCGACAGTTCATACCTTGATGAGCTCCTGTATGAAGTGACAAAGTTCCTGGTCAGCAAGGTTGAATCAAGTGAAGTACAGCTGGAGTTGATAATTCCAAGCTAAGAAACACAAACATACCTTGCTCAGACGTTTGCTGGCGAAAGAACTCGCCATTGTGATTTCCTTTGGTCGATGAAGTGAGGATGTACTTTGCTGATAACTAACAGACGCCGCTGCCTTAACCCAAGGTGGGTGGGGTCGAAAGATGGATGGAACCCACGGGGGCTGAATAGGGCGTTCGGGATATCTTTGACCTCCAGGTGGGATCGGGGGACCTTTAATGAGGGGTTTGCAGGAAATCGTTGGAAGTAGGAAAGTAGAAAGAGACGGAGGAGTACACAAAAACGCGCCTTGAGTTGGGGGAAGTTCGAAAGTTCCAAAGGTTCTTTGGGTTGGCGGGGATGATAAGGGTCACGTGATTGATACCCCAGCCCCGCCCCGGGGCGGTCACCGTGGCATACTCTTTCTAAGTGTGGATAGTAGGATAGGATAGTATCTACTTGGATTAAAATTATTTATTGAATGATTTATTGAGAGAGAGAGAGAGAGAGGTTTCAGTAAGGCATCGTGATGACCGCGACAGATTATGTGCACATTGTATTGACCTTGGGGAATCAAAAACTATATCCAGAATGACGGCAAACTACAACTCATGAACCAGCATTGAAAGAGACAGAGACAAACAGAGACGATAAACAAATGACCAAAATGATACCATATTAATGATGCGCAGCTTTTTCACGTGCCTCACGCTCCACCTTCTCGCGCTCCTCGTTGTCCTTGGCCTCACGAACCTTGGCCAGAACCACCTCGCGGAAGATAGCACCACGAGCAACCTTGCTAAGGCTGCGCTTCTTTGTGGTAGGCGCCGCAGAAGAATCACCGTTGGCTGATGATTCCTCTTCTGCAGATTCAGCCATGGCGACAGGGCTTGGAATATCCTCGGCGCTTTCGCCATCTTCTTCGTGCATCTTGAGAGCCTCGATTCGGTTGGCGAGCTTGACAATCTCGATACCGCGACGGAGACGGGCACGCGTAATGTAGGTGCGGATTTCGGGCAGCAAGTCGCGGTCGCTGGCGGATTCTCCGGTCAACCACTCGTGCTTGAGAGCCTCGTCGGAGGTCACGCGCTTGCTGGGATCCGGTTGTAAAAGGGTGAGAATGAAGTCCTTGGCATCCTGGGATACATCCTTCCAGTATCGCTCATGGAAAATGATACGGCCTCCTCGGCATTCTTCGATCAGATCTGTCAAGTTCTCGGCGCGGAATGGAGAGTAACCGCAGAGGAGGGTGTAGGTAATGACACCCAGCGACCACATATCGACAGCCTTTCCGTGACCCTGCTTGAGCATGACTTCCGGCGCAGCATAGCCGAAGGAGCCTGCCATGCTGGTGAGGACTTCAGTAGGGTTCTCCAGCATCTTGGCGATACCGAAGTCAGCTAGAACCAATTCTGAGTCAGAGGCGCGGGTGAGGTAGAGGAGGTTCTCGGGTTTCAAGTCTGGAGACTGGTTAGTATAATGATAATAGATACAATGAAGGTGTGAAATGCGTGGAAGGGGTTGATCTGACCTCGGTGGACAATGTTTCGGTGGTGCAGGTAGTTGACAGCGTCAAGGACCTGGCGAATTGTCTGTGAAGCATCCTTCTCTGTGAATTTTCCGTAGTCGCAAATGCGATCGAACAGCTCTCCGCCGGTTGCTAGTTGCGTGACGATATAAAATTTGTCCTGTTTGGCCGTCAGTAAAACTATGAATCTATCCAACTAGGGTTGAATTGAGACTCACCTTGGACTCGAACCAGTCCACAAAAGAGACAATATGAGGGTGCTTGAGCTTTTGCAACATCTCCAACTCGTCATAGACCATGCCTTCATTGCCGCGGACATTTTTCTTGAGGATAATCTTGACTGCAACCTTATCGCCAGCAGTCGACTCGGCCTCGCGGACAATTCCGTATGTACCAGCACCTAGAGTGCGTCCGAACCTGTAGAGAGCCCTAGAAGAAGCAGAAATAAAGCATCAATATACGTAGACAATATATCAATCCAATCAATTGGGGGGTGGGGACGAATCGTACTTCTTCTCGTAGCTCTCCGGCTGTCCAGACAGCTTGTTGAGCATATTTGCGACTGTAAGATTGGAGAGAAGTCAGTCAATCGGTCAATGGAGACTTGCAGAGCTGGAGTAAATGGAAAAGAGATCTGCGCAAGAGCAGGGCCAAGTATATAGATGTGCAGATCGAGAAACAGAAGAAGCAGAGGCAGACCATCGGAATAAATAGTGTAGAGAGCAAAAACAAGATCGGCAAGGAAGCTCGCGACAGCAAAGAACCCGACGAAAACAAAGGAGGCGAAACCGACTAAACACAGATTCCGCATGGTAGAAGCGCAATGCAGGTCGAGACCACCAGCACGAAGATGGCTTGAATCAAGAGGTGCGGGTGATAATAACCACGCGGCTGTTCACAGTCGGGACGCAACAAAGCCTGAAACCAGTGTATATAAGATTGACTCACAACTCATTGTGTGTGAAAAAAGGGCAGCCTATAGCCAAGTCGATTGGAATAGGATCGGTGTGCGACAGGCTTAATCGAGGAGACCCGTCGTCAGGTAGCAAAGGCGGGCTGGTGAACCCCGCAGCGGAGAGGGGCGGGGAGGGAGAAGTTGAGAGTTGAAGAGTGAGAGGAAGAGAAGAAGGAGAGATAAGAGTGGTGACAGTAGTAGGAGGAGTAGCAGTAGTAGTGGAGGTATATCTAGGAGAAATGGGGGTGTTAATGGAGGAAGACAAATTTCAGCCTTCAGCCTTGAGGGGCTAGCGGGGGGAGGAGGAGCTGGACAAAGTGTGGGTGTGGGTGCGGCTGACGAAGGTCTCCGCCAGGGGGAATGGGAATGGGAATGGGAATGGAAGTACCTTAGTACCTATGTATTTATCGGAAGGGGTTCGCTGTGACAGAGTGTTGACGAGGAGAGAATGGGAGGAGGAAGAAAGAAAAGAGAGAAAAGAGAGAAAAGAGAGAGGGGTACTCCGTACAACTCCTGAGTTCTAGACGCGCGATAGCACTTCCACTTCCACTTCCACTTCCACTACATTTCGGGGCTACAACGGTCGCACCGCCACAGCTGAACGTACTTGGGGCTAAATTATGTGTACGAGTATATCGTATGTACTCGTCTGCTCGTATCTACACCTCCATCTCAGCTATCTTCATTGGCTATGGGATCCTCCGATCGCTGGATTTGACTGCATCGGGTCAAGGGTGGCTCCGCCTAGCGCTGCCCTACGAGTTATGTATTTGTATACTGTACTGATTTACTTCCTATCATTGGCTTAGGCTTTTCAAAAGTCCGTTTACGCCTTGTAAGGTTGCTACCTGTCCTTTTATCCCCAGGGGCACACTGCTGCTATTCCCACCTTCATCGCTGAGCCCATGAAACACTAGCTTTAGACCATGGCGCGACCTCACCAGCTAGACCGCTCCAGCTATGATCCACCAGTGGCTGGTCACTAGTGACTAATTAGTACGAGTAGGTAAACATGTGATAATTCCGATGTATACAGAACCCCACTGGAACCAAGGAGATATCGAGTACAGTACCTAAAAGGATAGCAGCCATTCAATTCTCCCAGGGCAAGCTTCCAAGGTTATCTACTGCTGTCATCAATTAAAATTAATTTAATTCGGGACCCCCCTGCCTACTCTGAGTCTGATTTGTAGTGCAGACCCCACCGCGCCGAGATTGTGTTGCACGCAGCGTCATATCCCACGCCCAGGACGTCATAGGCTTGATACCCAAGAAGTAGTACGGAGTACATATAAATAATTAATCACCACCACCAGGGCTGGTAGCAGCCAAAGACAAACCATACTGAGACTCGGATTCACCACAACTTCTAAGAACCACAAAAATGTTCTACTTCATTCTTTATCTCGTCTCCCAGCTGGTCCTGGTGGCCGCATGGGTTTCCGGCACTTTGGACCCCTACCAGAAAAGGCTGCAAGAAATTCTGCTCGATCAAATGGGCGAGACAAAGGTTTCATTTGGTCTGAAAAGTAGGTTTGGATCTTTTATTTCCCTTTAAATCCTTCTTTTTTTTCTAGATGAAAAAAAAAAACCTATGCTTATACATGGCCATCTATCTAGAGAGCCTGACCGCTAAGAAGCTCATCGAGGATGAGAATCTCTCCAAGATCCAGGATCAGCTAGGGAACCAACTCGGGGGTATTTTTGGGAAAGGTGGAATGGGCCAGGGCTTTGGGTCTGTGTTGAGCAAAGGGCTGTGAATACATTCTACTGTTTTTTCGGACTGGAACATCAATGCCCTCAATTGTTGATAGCTCTGCCTTCAGGTTTGTCGCCAGGTTCAAGTTTACTTACTTCAAAGAAGAATGAGTTACTCTAGCCACTCGGAACAATTCAGTCACACCGTTAATCTTTCATGATTCTTAAAATAAGCTTCGTGTAACTCATCTGAACGCTGCAGATCCGCAGATCACAAAAGAATTCTCCGGAAAAAAAGGAAGATGAAAAAAACAAAACAAAGCAAAACAAAATAGCATTCAGATGGAAATCAAATCAAATCAAATACTCCAACCTCGAATCATCCATCGAGATCATTTCATTCCATCCCATGATACCCCCATCTCACTGATCCAGATACATCTCATTCATAACCATAGTGCAAAATTCCTGATAATACCGCGACCCCTTCCATGTACTCCGGGGCGAACGCAACCCAACAGTCTTCCATCCCTCCGACCGTAGACGAGCAATTCGCTGCGCCTTCGTCTCCTTCACCAAGAAATTGCCGAATTCATCTAGAATCGGCTCCCTATCTTTACCCGCACCAACTTCCCCTTCGTCGTCATCGCTCCTAGACTTGATGGGATCAAAGCTCCAGAATGAGATGGAACGCTGCATCTGGCGAGATCGACGGGCGCGTTGAATATTTAAGACGTGATCCACGTGCTGTTGTATCGAATTTATGTTTATTGTTATCTGTGAGCGCAGAGTCTCGATTCTGCGATTATGTCGGACAACTCTTGCCGCGCGCGCTGGTGTCATTTCCTCCGTGGGTTCCGCAGGCGCAGTGGTCTTTCGCGAAGTTTGAACATTGTGGTCCCCGCTGGAGAGAGAGGTTTTCATATTGCTGGTAGGGACACTTTTTATATCGCCTTTCTGAGCGTCGATATTTAGTTTTGTGGCTGGGATGATCCTCAAAGGTAAGGGCGGCGGACGAGGTCTATTCGAGCTTCGACCCAGGGACTTCGGAGAACTGCCGCTGCTGCTGATATTTTCGAAAGACCTTGGCTTGGTCAGGCGAGGTCCCAACTCCTCTGGAATTTTTCGGACGCGCAGAGGAGAGGGTATAAGGGTGGTAGTGGTACTCCTCTTAACTGGCTCTTTGATCTTGGCTGCCGATATTCTGGTCGGAGAGCACATAACGCGAAAGAGACGATCCTTTTCGGCCTTTGTAGCCAGATTTCTTGCGAGTGGAGATAGGGACAACATAAATGGGTTCTCGCGACCTTTCTCGTTATCTGACATGAACGGGTCGTCTTCTTCAAAATCCCAAAGAGAGATGTCAATCAGCCGGGTGATACTCCGAACGAGAGAATCACGCCTCGGTGACTGAAAGAGCCCCCCATCAAACGAAAGTAGACTGCATCTAGGTGTCCGAGGTGTCGAAGGGTAGTATACAGGCGGACTTGAAGGGGGAAGTGTTTTCTCAATCGCAGGGAGCTTCGGTAGAGGCATTGGCTCCGGTAAGACCGCATCGCAGTTGGTAAAGCAATCCAGCGCCGCATTCAAGAAAGATATCTTCATGCTCGAATACAGATGGGCTGCTTGTCCCAGTAGTTCATAAGATATAGCGGCGTAGAAATTGAGGAAGACTTGGTGGATAGGTTCGATCTGTAGCATGCATGGCTCGTCAACTGGGGATTCTCTCCCGCTCTCAAGAGGTAAGGGCCGAAGGAGGATCGGGAACATACCGGTGAACTTGGAGTTCTGAGAAGAGACGTGGCCCGTGTTGCACACTGTTTATACTGCTTCTGAAGATATAGGGATTTGACCTCTGTGAGCGCGTCATTCCATTCCTTGCGTGTCCGAGGTAGGGCTGGAACCAGCCGGGGGGCGAAGGCCGCTGGCGAATTCTTGCTAGAGAACCCTCCCAGCATGATGGAAATGAGCGAAAGGCTATTATTTAACACACACAAAAAAGAAGCACAAAGAAAACCACTGGAAGGGAAGAAAAGGAGAGGAGAGGGAAAAAGAGAGAAGTTCAATGTGTGTGGTTGTGGGTTGTCCGAGTCTGCCTTCGCCTGCTGTACTTGCCTGGAGTCACTGGCACTTAGTAGTACAGTACAAACACCTACTACTACTAGTAGTACTACTCAGGCTTAAAGTAATCCGAACATCTTCAATACCCTACTTCACATTGATCAAAAGCGGTAAGAATAAATAAAAGCATCACCTCCTTTTATTCCATAAAATCTGTCGTGTAGTATCAATATGGTAATTCCTATTAGTAGGGGCACACAATGAACGGATATGCAGGCGATGGCAATGCAAAAACTATAGCTCTCTGTGGAGATCAAGAGCTTGGAACTATTATTTAAACTCCAGTAAATTCAAAACAAATACCAAGATAAAGACTCGTCAACCTTGAGACTATGGTACTGCTTCGGCAGGGTGGTGAGCAACACCATCCGCTTTCGGCTCTGCACCAGCCCTTGAAAGAGCCTCTCCTGTCGCTGAAAGGGCACCCAGGAAGTCACCTAGCAGACGATCCAGCTCCGCTGTAACCGCAGCATCATCGGCACTTTCCATCAAGCTGTCGGCACTTGGGGGAATCAAGGTTGGAAATGAGATAGTGGGATCACTATCAGTCACCAGTGGCGCGGCAAATGAAGACATATGATCTCGACGACGAGCGGTCTGCAGGGGCTCCTCAATGATAGGTGACCCTGGCTCAGAGATCTCAACGGGCGTGTCACTGGGCCTGTCATACACCGGAATGGCAGTGGGCGGCGGCAAGTCATCCAAAGATATGATATCTGGTTCTTCCTGCCACATTGGATGGGACTCTTGGGATACTTCTTCTTCTTCTTCTTCTTCTTCTTCTTCTTCTTCTTCTTCATCTGGTCCGGGCCCATCAAGGACTCCGGCAGAATCATCATCAGAGGCGTTATCGACTAAGCTTGGGAATTCCGCGTCGAATGAATTGGGTTGTGATGAAGCCTTGGGGGTTGTTGGTCGGTCAAAGCGGAATGGATCATAATCAGAGTCAGACATAGTCGAGCTGTTGGAGGCTGAGGTTGACGGGCGAGAGATAGCGGGTGAATGTGTAGGTTGTCTTTGCAAACCAGATACAGGCGCTCTCACAGTATCGTGGCGATCTGTATCAGTGCTCACCTGTTCATCCATGGCAGGCATAACCTCTGGTTGAGACCCCATGACAGGGAAAGTCCACTCCATGGTAGCACGTTTCTCGTCTTGAAAGCTTTCTTCTTTGATTGGTTCAGTGGCTGGTTCCTCTTCTGCACCCTCAGCTTCGTTATCAGCGTCGGCCTCGGGTTCAACATCCTCAGGCTGTGCCATGGAGAATGAAGGAAATTTCCAGTCCATAGTGGGAGGTCGCGGGCCTGACGGTTTGAACTCCTCCTCGTGAGGTTCATTAACATCGGCATCGCTGTTCGAAGACTGGGAACTAGAATCATTAGATCCACGAGGAATGCGGATACTAGACCGATTTGCGCGAATGGTGTCCGCATTGGCAAGCTGGAAAGGCTGTGCGGACGGTGCACCAGCTGCATAGTGGGAGGAGTCAAAGGAGCCAATATCGATATCAATGAAAGTCGATGTCACCGATGATCGATCCGTGTTGGTGCGGAGAGGGAGATCGGAGGGTGGAGGGCTGGGTTGGATAGGAACAAAATCTCTCTTGGTTTCATATTTGTAACTTGGCATATCCTCGTTAAAAAGTCCTTCCATGGCTTCTGCACCACGGCGGACTCGCTCGTCGAAATTGGCTTTATCCTCAGGATCCAGCTCGGCTTCGTTAAATTCATCACCAAGATCGCTGTCGGGTGCTGGGGTTGTCGGACTGATCGCTTCTTCCATCTCAGCAAGGGAAGCGGCGATCTGATCGAGATCAATGACAGAGAATCTTCGTTCAAAGCCATCCGTCGTGCTGAAGCTCCAATCCTCTTCGGTTTCTTCGGTTCCTGGGAGCTCTGCCGCTGCTGCACCCCCAGGGTGAAATAAAGACACTCGCTGCCCGCCCCGTTGTGACCATTGATAGTAATTCCGAACAAGCTCAGCAACGGAGAGGGTCGGGTATTCCTCTTCTGTTTCGGCAATATAGGGGTGTGCGAGGATGTCTGCCATTGTTGGACGAGTCGCTGGATTGGAGTCAAGTGCATACGCAATAAGATCCTTTAATCCCTGACTATACTGGTCACTATCAAGCTTGGGGGCATTTCGATTGAGTTGACGTCCGATTTGCATTCGTTCGCGGAGTCCCGAGTTGGGAGGATTGCCTGTAGCAAATTCGAACAAGGTGCAGCCGTATGCCCACACATCAATCTAGAAGATGTCAGCAAATCTAGTTTATGGCAAAGAGAGGGATGGGCTTACCTCATTGCCATAATGGTGCGCCGGCCCCCTCATGGAGAACATCTCAGGGGGCATCCAGTGTGGCGTTCCGATCCACGTAGAGCGTTTGTCCTGATGCGATTGCAAGACACCTGCAACACCAAAGTCACAAATTTCCAATCGTCCTTCTTCGTGGATGAGGATGTTCGCAGCTGATATTTGTCAGCTGGGAATCTTAACCATAATTGAATATTATTTCAAATTACCCTTTACGTCACGGTGGATAATACCAGCTTCGTGAATAGCATGTAATCCAACAGCAAGCTCTCGTGCAATAGGAATGATGTAATTCTCTTCGAGTTTATCACCAGTTGCTCGCATCTAGAAGGGTCAATATAGAGGCCGATTACACGGGAGGCTAGAAGGGGAGCTCACCAAAGTTCGCACACTACCACCGGGGCAGTACTCGCAGACTAGCCACAATTGGGAATGGATGGAGATTGCTTCGATGAGCTCGTTGATGTTCTTAGCGCCTGAGTCTTTGACTTGCTTCATGACCTTGGTCTCATGAATAAAATCCTTGATTGACTCATCTCGAAAGTCACGCAATGACTTGTAGTCCAAAGAGTCAATATCAAGGACTTTGATTGCTACCAACCGGCCAGAAGGTGTTTCATGACCCTTATAAACTCGGCCATAGGCACCCTTGCCGATCAATTCTTCGAACTCGTAAGGCGGCACCTCAGTCTTTGCGCGGCGACACATCTCCCTAACAGCAGTCCCCTGCTCTCGTGCCAGCTTGATCGCCTCGGCTTTATGCCTGGTGATCGCTGTGATGGCAGAGGAGGGGTCCAAGAAAGTTGACGCACGTGAATCCATCTTGATGTGCTGGTATGTCTGAGTCGTTAGACCAGACAGGGTGGAGAGGTGTTGATATCGTGTTCTAGGGTGTGCCTGATCTGAATTTCTTAAAAATTCGAGAAAGGCGAACTTTAAACCTTCCCGTGGCTCCTCTTTGAATGCCTTGACTGGTCGAGGACCGTCTCAAAGATATGAAAGAAGAGAAATAACGATGTGCCCTGGGCGATTTGGGGCAATTCCCGATTGATCGCCGATGCGTAAGCTTTTCCCTGTCACTGTCCTGGACGCTCGATGAATTAGCCTGTGTGATGTTTTCGCAAGCAGCAAAAGCGCGTTGATTATTCCGGGGTATGGTTTCCAAATGATGTGCAGGACTATCGCCGTCATTTGCACATTCATCCGCCGGAAAGTCATCAACAACCTGCCTGTAAGACTGGCTCAAGGTGCGACCAGGAAGCTTGACGCCAGGGAGTAACGCTCGGGAATCCTGGGTACTCGAGCTGGAAGAGTCACGAAAGAAAGTTTCTGTCTCACCTAAATCGTTGTCGTAAATAGAAGGACTGGGCGGCGTGGTGCGTCCGTGGGTTGTACCCGGGTCAATAGCCAGGGGTGTTTCTCCTTCGAGACGTTCAAGCAAATCTGATAGTAGGCTATTCGAGTCTAAAAAGCTGTGGTCCTGAGAACGGTGTTCTATGAGAGCCGACGGCGGATCCTGGATTGGTGCAGCAGTCTCAGGAGGCCCGTAGTCTCGTGGTCCAATGACTGGTAGCTGGAAGCGTGCAAGAGAGTCCCTAGAATAACAATGAGTAAATAATGATCAAAAGCTACCGATATGGAATTCACATACTGTTGTGATGATCGCGCATCCAAAGAATCAGAGGCCTCTTCGTTTTGCGAGGACAAGGCGCTGGCGACCTTATGAACCGTCTCTGTACTGGAGAACCCCTGCAAAAACTCTGGATTTTGTAGCAAGCGAAGCGCAAAGTCTCTATCGGAAAGCGAGATTGAGGACTCCTCGCGCAGAAGCTGGATTTCCCGATCGAGGTTAGACATTTTGATATTCAAATTCGCAGTGGCGGGCAATAATGGGGAGAGAAGGTAAATAGGGTGGTCGCAACGGGCGATGGCGGGGTGAAGTAAAACAAGCCCGACACGAAAGCTTCGAAGCTCATGTGAGGGAATCTCCATGGGTACACAACATATAGTCAATGCTTACTTACCAACAGGTCGTTAATGTACTGATCAAATGCGGGAGGTACTTGATACTCGCAGATCAAAGGGTCCTTTGCCGGTGAATATCACCGCAAAATACCCATTCAGTGGGAGCCTCGATCCCTTCAAGCTCACGACCGTCCGATATGAGATGATCCGGTAGGTCTCAAACATATGAAATGCCCCGAATGCCCTTGCTGTGATATCTCTTTGAAGGTTGACATCTTCATCAACGCCGTTGGCGGTCGACGAAACATGGCCACGTGACTGGTGCCTGAGGCGAACATTGACATTAATACTCTCTGCCTGCGATTGGAGGCAACGAAATCGAACAAATACTTAGTTATAGAATTGAAGAGGTCGAAATAGATTGCTAGTATGAGCCCAGGAAGGTCGTCAAGGAATCCAATCTACGGTCAATTTGATGAAGAGCTGGAAAATACCTGTAGTTTTTGCCGTAACAGCTACAAAGCCAGGCCGGTTCTATTATGGACCGGTGAATAGAAAGGCGCAAGATTTACAAAATTGCATCAGGATCAGCAAGGATAATGTATTAATTCGTAATGCCATTGGTAGTGAGCCTAAGGCTTTTCATGGCTATGATCCAAGCCACTGAATACCATGAAATATGATTAAATGGGCAACGCAAAGCCCCCACAAAAGGTCACTAATGCAAATGGAAACAAGCTCCAAGTATTTGCTAAATGTCGATGCGATGCATTACAAACCTGGTGTTCGTTCGAATAAAACGCACCTCTTATTCGAATGATCATTTTCTTCCGCCATGATGCCCTCTAATATGCCGGTCTTTCCCGAGGCGATGTGAGGCGTACCGTGTGTCTTCCTCGCTGTCGCTGTCCATCTGGTCCAGAATACGATCGATCTCATCCCCTGCGTGAGCCTCTAGGCCTAATCTAAGGCTTTGGGATTTCGCATCTTGGCCGTAAATGGACTCGCCACTCTGTGGGCTTTGACTGTGTTGAGTTCCTGCTTCTGTTCCGTGCTTCTCATTGTTGCCATACAGCGATGCATTCAAACTTTGTTGCGTGGCAGGCGGTTGCAAGGGTCGAGGACTGGAGCGGTACCCGGAGTTCTCAGGGCTAGACATGAAAAGCAACGTTTCGATTGCGTCCTGCTCCATAGCAGTGTTCTCTGATTGGGTTCGTGATCCGTAATACCCGTTCGATGATGTAGGCGCCCGACTTGTTGGAGGGATGGACGGTGTTCCTGGCCCTATAACTCTTGGTGACCCATTAAATGGCCGGGCGAAGGGAGGGATCTTGATATGAATGATGGCGTCGGTGCCGGGCGTATGGGCTGCGATCGAATGGTTGAGCGGCCCAGTTGGGATTTGGTCGCCGCCGCCGGGTGTCTCCATTTGATGCAACGATATCAACGGGAGGCGCCAATCTGGGGATCTGAAGGAGTTTGCCAGGGGAGGAAATTGCTGAATGTGATCTATGGTGAGAATGATGATTTGACGGTGCGTCGGTTGATGACGGTCGTTGGCTAGGTTGCGAGTTTAGCGTAGGGGTCAAGTCTGAAGCGCTCGAGGGAATATTCGAAGTAGATAGACTTTCGAGCCCACGCAGCGCTAGTTCCGTATTAGATGGTGACTGCCGTGACTTTTCTATTTTTGCAGCCGCATATGATAGTCGTGTGCGGATATGAACGGACAGCTTTTCTTACGTCAATAACACTCAGAATGAGCATTCAGAGAGAGTCCTTACTTGAGCAATTCTGCTTTCGTGGGCTGGTGAGCCCGTGCTTTTTGACCGACGACGTGCTCCATTGACGTCCGAGGCGACAGGTGCAGCCAATGTGGAGATAGGTTTTACATCTCCAGTGACTGTTCGTTTGTGGCCCGGTGTATATCGCGTACCGGCACTCGAACGAAGGTTGGAAAGATTTGACGATCGCAGAGGTGACAGAGAGCCATTGCTCTGTTTTTCTAATTTCACTGCGCCGTTTGTGCCGCTTATTAACCCATTTCCATTGGTCTTCTTCAAATTATGCAATGCTTCCGAGGTTGATATTTCTTCATTTGTATTCGCCATCGCAATATCGCCATTCATGTAGTAGGGGTTATCGAGGTCCATGGACCGATTGGAGTCGTTTAGTGAAGAGGATGGTTGGCTGGGGGGGGTAGTCTGTGAAGGTACTCGCAGAGTGTAGTTCTGGTCGCTGGCCGTCGGACGTCTCACTACCACGGTGGGACGATTCGACATAGCTGACGTTAGAATCTCTCCGACTGTAAACCCCAGCCTCAAGTCCATTCACTTGCAGAGAAAGAGGTTGGGGTGAACGTGGAACCTGGACTTGTCCCGCGCGGCTCGAGTCTGTCGCAAGTGATGCGGCGGTGTTCACCAGGGTATCCGCACTGGCCTCCGAATGGGGAACCCCGCGACTCGAGGGCCCATTGTAGATATCATTCATGGTCAAGCAAAGGGGCCTTTGCGGGGAATTTCGGTCAAATGCAGAGCAAACCTAAGAAACCCAAGGCGCACACAGCACGCGACCAGGCGTCAATTGTGAAATGACGCGGCCGCGCAAATGATCTAAACATGCAAGAGGATCTTCTCGCGCCTTGTCGCTCGTCGAGACGCACCAGGAATGTCCGAGGTCAAGCAACCGAGGATGCGCTAGATTAACGGTCAGGATCTGAATGTCTGCGAGGACGGACGGGAGAATGCCAGAGACGCCGCGGTGGGTGCCAGGAGCATCTGCCCGATGCAGTGGCGATCGACCAGCACGCGCAAGGTTGAGCACGAGCGGCAAAGCGGCCGGTGAGCCCTCCAAGGAAATCCAGTCCGATGAACCCGATGGAATGGAAATAAATTCTTCAGAAATGCTAGTCAGGTGCAGGAGCAAAAGATCGAACCTCACGATGTACTGGAAAATCCAAGGTTTCCTGAGGGAAGTCGAATGCGTCGTCTCGAACGGGCCGGCGACGCGCGTGGTCACGTGTACCGGGTCAGTAATGCGGATGACTATAGGGTATAGAGTACGGAGTAGAAGAGAATATGATATGATTGATATAAGTAGTAAGGTATACAGGGGGTATTGAGAGAATACCGGGATTGGATGCTTGGTTTTTATTTATTCCAGCAATATCATAGTAGGCTTGGTGTACCTGGTGGATGAAGGATACTTGTAGCACTTGGAGCTTGAAGCCTGCCCAGGTGAAGATTTTGAAGAAACTAGAACCTCTTGAAGGTCAATGGTTAGGTGCTACTACCTATAATCTAAAATTATACGCCAGGGATCCTCCAAAATCCAGCTTGGGAAGAACTTTACGGGCAGCCACTGGAAGGATAGTTGCAGCTACTAGTCTCACCCCCTCCAGTGATAGAAACACCAGAGAAAGAAAAGTCCGAGCAGCTATCCGAGCCACAAAGGATGTAGTAGTCCTTGGCATCATCAGTGGCTGTACCGGTGACATCGGTGAAAGTGACTCCAGAGATAGTCACACCGTTGGTAGGTTCGCCGGTAGGACCGCCATTGAGATAATCCTGCTGGATGTCGATACCATAGTCGGTGATTCCAGAGACCGTGATGTTCTGGTAAATGATGTTGCTAACCTGTTTAGTTGATAACATTTATTAGCAATTGTTCTTTTCTTTCTCTTTTTACAAAACAGAATTTATCAAGAACGGGACTTAAACTCACACTGCCAGTAGTCTCAGAGTTGGACTTGATGCGGCATCCATTCGAGCTGTCCACCACCTGGGAGTTCTTAAATGTCACACCATCCACAGTGTTGTTGCTCTTACCACCAATAGACCCGATGCTTAGACCGTGACCACCAGAGCAATAGATGTTGTCAACGGTAATCTCGGTTCCACTAGTGACAGCAACGCAGTCATCCTGGTTATAAACGGAGATGTTCTCCAAAGTGACATAGTCACTAGCAGATATGTCGAAACCGTCACTGTTGTGAGCAGCTGCGTCATCACCGCTAGCGCTATTAGGCTCATCGCCAGCAGAGTTGTCCAGAGTCAACCCAGAAACGGTGAGGTGCTGAACACCATTGATATAGAAGCAGTGGACAGGCCAGTTCTTGATGTTGAGGGCGGTGATTTCGGAGTTATAGACGTGCTTCACTACAATGAAGTGATTGGGTCTGGAATAGCATGTTAGAACTGGTACGCATAATTGCTCTCATATCATTACTTACTTGTCTTGACCGCCGTTGGAGCCCTCACCATCCCAGTAAGCGGCACCGTTGCCCTCGATGACGTGGTCAGAGGTACCAGTAATGGTAATATCAGTTCCGGAAATAACAATAGGATCGAAGTCAGAGTCGAAAGTATCACCGAAGGTCTACACACCACGAAGAAAGACGTTAGTGATCACTATAGGGTGTTCGGCTTAGTTTACCACTTACGGTGGTACCAGCAAAGGTGACCGTAGCACCGGTTTGGAGGCTCTGCAGGTCGATGGTGCTAGAGGGAGGCGCAGAGATGTTGGAAAGAACGATGTTGGTGCAAGACTTGACAGCAGAAGAGATAGATGCGTATTCAGTAATAACGCAAGCATCCGAGGCAACAGAGGCAGCGGCAACATTGCTAGAAACTGTGGTGGGTGCTTGGGTTGTTTCCGGGACAGCAGCTGAAGAGGATTGGGTTGATGATTTGGTAGTCTTTACCAAAGTCGTCTTGGTCTCGACAGGTGTGCTAGTCGACACGGAGGGGACAGCGACAGTGCTGGTAACCGCCGCCGGGGCAGTAGTTGGCTCAGCGCTAGACTATACAGAAAATCGAACATTAGACTAAATATAATTGTAGACTATCGAGATCGATATTCTCTCACCCCCTCAGTGGAACCGGACCCGGCACCAGCCGTAGCCCAGGCTGTGTCAAGACAACTGCATGCACTCGACAAGTGTCCGGTTTTGAAGTCACAAGCCGAAGCAAAGCTGGGCAGACCAGTAGTAGCAGTCACCTTGCTCGCAGTGAAGGTGGCACAGAAAGCAGCAGCCTCCGAGCTGGATGCAGTGTATGCGGAAGCACAAGCATGGCTGGCAGGGTTATTGCATCCCAAGACCAGGGGAAGGAATGAAAGTAAAAGCGCGCTGCGCATTTTGAAAGAATAAAATCCCGAAAAGAATGAATAAAATAAAGAATGTATGAAAATAAAGGAAAGGGGCTACCAAGAACTTCGGGACCAGGGCGAAAAAAGAGATCGAACCATTCTTATACACACAGCTAAGCCGAGCAAAGTGAAGCTTGGACACTGCTTGATAGTCTGGGCTCCATCAGAGCTGGACCGATAGTTACTAGTATGCCAGTATACTCCACTGTTGGCGCTAAGCCGGAGAAACTTCGCCTCCAATGAATCTAAGCCTATCAGTCGGTTCATAATCTGCATGTCCCCTGAATATTATATTGATTTTTCCTGCTGGGTATAGGCTAAAGTGCGCTGCTGACGTCTTCCGGCGTCCTGGAAATCAAAGGTCCATGTTAGTAGTGAATTTTGGCGCTATTTCCATCAGGGGTACTTCTCCGGTGGCACCAAGTGCGAAGAGGGTGTTTCATCTTGATGGGGTGGGGAGAACGATGGTGCTGCGGCGTTCACTCGGCAGAAGGAAGCCAAGGCATGCTAGTACTATAGCGTGCTAGTGTGAGGCTATCAACGACCGTTGAAACAAGCCGAAACAAACCATCACACGCTTGGAACTAGTTCATCATGGTCGGCAGTCACTAGCGACATGGCGTGGGTCAGATGCCGGACATGCTATGCAAGAGATTAGGAAGTGTGATATCTAGACAATGAAAGGTTCCAGACCAGGGCATCAGATGTGGTTGGCTCTACCTCAGGCACGTAATACCGGGATGGTTGTCTGAGACTGAGGGAATTTTTGACAAAAATTGATATACATTGGCTTTTGGGACTCAAAACACCGTCTATGCAAAACAAAAATGTATCTATGTCCATAATGACATGTACAAGACTCCCAAGTGAGATTAACCGCGTCGCTTTCCACGACCACCAGACTCGCCATCTGGATTCTTGCGCTTCTTGCCCTCGCGACGCCAGTAATCGTCGCGCTCTCTCTTCTCGCGCGCCGCTTTCTTCTCCAGGCTGTCGGCCACCTTTGCACGATAGACCTTGCGGCGTTCTTCCTGCTTGGCCGACCGCTTCGCTTGCTTCTCGTTGCGCAGGGTGGTAAGCTTTTGCATCAGATCGCGGGCCTTCTTTTCTTCGCCGCCAAGAACAACAGCGCGCTTTTGCATATAAGTCTGATCCTTTCGACCCTTCATCTTGGTGATCTGCGACTTGAAAGGCAACTCGGCAGCCAGCTGCTTGGGCACACGCAGGGGGTTGAAGTGACGAGTAGGACGCTCGATCTTGTGGTAGGCAGAGTCTTTGTTGAGGGGAGTGGGGATGCCTTGATCCCGGCGGACTTCACCTGTAAGACGCATTCCTTGCCAGCCGCCATCGTCCATTTTACCGTCACCCTGATCAAGCAGGTTTGTCACAGGGTTGTAGAAACGATGGGGCTTGATGGGATACCATGCGCGCAGGAACACAAGGTCACTCATCAGGATCTTGTCCTCAAATGTAGCACGGAAGTGGCCTTCAGGCTTGCTGAGGGCTCGCTTGATTTGACCACGGATACCAGAGACGGTGCGGATGGAGGCACCCTCAAATTTGGCAATCTCCAGGAAGAGTTGAACATGTCCTTAATGAAGGCAGTGTTCTTGAAAATCTTGTAAGGAGCACCAGTGAGTTTGAGCTTCTTAACAATCTCAGTGTGCTCGTCCACGCTCAAAACCACGCCGGTCGCAGCAATACGGAAACCAGGGTTCTTGTTGGAGAATGATTGAACACAGCAGAAACCAGTGTTCGGGGCCACGAGAGGGCCGTAGAAGACACCGAAGCAGTGCATGTGCTCGGGAGTATACTTGAGCATACGGTTTCGAGTCCGACTGTCAGAAGTACTGTAGATTGGCAAGGACTGGAAACGACGCCAGCCCAGTGAGAATATCAAAGGATCGTTGCTCTTGAGAATCTTCTTGTGCCAACGGTGACGCTTGATACGGATCTGAACATATCCGAAACGGTCCTCGGTAGGAGCGAGTCCTCCGACAATGACGGGGTAACGAGGGCTGAACTTGGACGCAAACTCGTAAGGGACGTTCTCAAGGACAATTCGTGCGTAGGTACCGGCCTTGTAACCTTCAGCACGAGCTCGAGAGGACGGATCGAGGGTATCAAACTCAGCACGGTTGATATCAAGCTGCTTTTGCATCTTTGCCTTCTGCAGATCATACCAATCGTCCTCGCCGAACTCGCCATCCCCACCATCTCGCTCGCCTTCTTTAGCATTGGCAAAACCTTCACGATCCTCTTCTTCGAAACGAAGTTTCAATTCCTCCTTTTTCTGAGCATTGCGTTCACGCTCAGCCTCCAGATCCATAGGTTCTTCAGGCTCAGCCTCTTCGTCTTCGTTTTCCTCATCCTCCTCGCCATCTTCCTTGAAGCCATCGAAGGTTTCACCCGTCTCCAGATCCTCGAATGCTCCATCGCCCTCGTCATCTTCGCCGTCGTCGTCGAAATCATCCGAGTCAACTTCGTCGAGATCGTCGAGGCCACCAGCAGAGAGCTTGCCGGTGACAAAGCGCTGTTTAAGAGATTCGATCAATTCCTCGTCGCGCCATTTTCGCTCCAATTCGTCATAGTCGTATTCAGGCACGGCACGGTAGTCGGATTCGTCCTTCTTCTCGTTGTTTGTCTTCTTGAAGAAGTCGTCGGTTTCTTCCTTTTCAGCTTCGTCGTCGCTCTCTTCCTCATCATCATCCTCTCCACGCCATATTTGCACAACATCAGCGGGACTGATAGACTCGTCATACATCATACGCGAGAGATCGGCGACACGGAATGCAGGTCGCTTGCCGTGAAGAGCTTTTGCGTTGGCCACCATGTTCTCCTTCCATCGGGCATTCCCCTCTTCATCCTCATCCTCGTCATCTTCTTCTTCTTCGTCATCGTCCTCCTCCTCCTCCTCCTCCTCCTCCTCCTCATCGTCCTCTTCACCACCGCTCTCAAGCTCTTGGTCCTCGACAGAAGAGATGGAACCCAGGTCAGAGTCACTATCGGCGAACGCAATATCTTCATCATCGCCATCATTCTTGCCGTTCTGACGCTGTTTGAACTTCTTCTCGAAATCAGCTGGCGCGGAAACGTCGACTTCGTCATCATCTTCATCACCGCTGAAGTTCTCTTCCTCGTCATCTTCCTCGTCATCATCGCCGCTGAACTCCTCGTCGGATGCAGCAGCACCGTCTTGCTCGATATCAGCAATACGGGCGTGTCTTCTGTGCTTCCGACCACTCTCGTCATCTTCGTCCGCTCGGGAGATCGCATCACCACCACGGAAGAGGCGCACACCCTGATCGGCTTCACCAAGCAGTTTCCGCTCACCCTGTAGACCAACAACAAGCTGTTCACCAAGACCACGACGGTCCTCGCTATCGGATTCTTCCTCGTCTTCCGAGTCCCGATTAAAGGTTTGTGTCTTGATATCAATATACACGGCATCCTTGTCAACCAAGACACCGCCAACATCGGACATGGGAGCAAACAGTAATTTTTGTTTGTCTCCAAGTCTGCGTCGAGAAGTCTTGCCAGATGCCTTTGCTATTTGCTGGTCCATATGTGGGGTAGGGCAAGGATCAGGAAGACCCTCAATTCCAGAAACTGTCAAGTCGCCAACACCGGGAACATGCACTCTAGCACCATTGGCGGGAAAATTGGTACCTCGAAGATAGCCGTAGAGCGCAACGGTACGGTCACACTTGGGGTTGGCTTCAATGTTGGTGGGAGGAGTGATATCGAGGAAGCGATCGGCAAGCGCATACGGATGCGAATTGCGCCAGATGAGCGGACGGGGGTTCTTCATGATGGAGAGGAATCGAGATAAATTGTGGACTTCACGATCGGGATAGCGGCCGTTGATAACACCGGAGAGGTAGAAAAGCTTGGCACCCTGGTAAAGTTCGCTCCAGAAACGGTGCTTAAGGCGCTTCTTGGCCATGCGCAGGGTACTCTGTTTTTTGAAGAGATCGAGATGGGTGAGAATACCAAATACGTTACCGGGCATACCGCTGGTAGATAAGGCGTTCAAGAATTCCATTGTCTCCATCTCGAAACCATAGTTTCCGTCGATCATCAGCAGGATGATATCCGCGACCTTGGCCACATCGATCATAGCGGCCAGAGAGTCGGAAGGGCATTCGATAAATGTGAGGCGCTTCTTCTTCGACGTGACGACGGTCAAGGGTCCTTGGGGCGAGCTCAGAGTTTGCTTCGTATAGCGCTTAATCAAAGACTTGAGCAGAGTGGTTTTTCCGACCTGAGAGGAAGTTATTGTCAGTGCCGAAACGATATTCGAAAGATACACCAGCTAGAAACTTACACCAGAGGGTCCGACGAGCGCAACGACCGTCGGAGGAGCCTCCTCGGGCATGCGATCCACTTGGGGCACATGAAGACGCTTTTCCTTGACCTACCGCAGCAAACCAGGTTAGCAATAGTATAACAGCTTGGTCTAATGGAATTGGTACGTACATCGTGGGACCGCGCTTGCTGACGGTTGAGTTTTCCGGTTTTGGAGAATGTGAAGGCCTTCGGATTTGACCCTATAGAGTAGAATATCAAGTTAGCAAGATGTTCCTCCTCCATCGAGGTTTGGCCGCAAATTCAGATTGCGCGAGTTTGCTGTGAGCATACCTTCGAATTTCTTCTTCTCCTTTGCAGGTCGATGAGACCTGTTAGATTGCTGCTCCATTTTGGCAGCAAAGAGGTCCCTGACCTCAGTTCTCTTCTGTGAAAATTCACCAAAAGAGAGCACTGACAACGAGGGGACAGCGACTGGGTATGGCCAACGACTGCTCCAGAATTATTTTTTCGAGGCGGAGAGACCCGGCAATTTGAGAGGCGGTGGACCTGGAACGGAATGCTAAATCACGTGGACCGCCAAGGTACGGAGTATACGGAGACCACCCCATTTGCTAAATAGACCATTGTGGTAGCTATTGTAGACCTATATCTAGATCAGTATATACTCGAATATAAGATGGAGGCAGCTATATACCTTAATTTGAGACAGTGGCAAAGCTATCGAATCAGAGCAAGAGGAGATATAGGTATCGGAGGTCCTAGACATTAGACGTAGAGGTCGCATACCCAAGTTTGTATGGGAATTACACATTAATCTGGATTCGGAAGGACCATGGTCCATTAAGTAGAAGGGTGGTCCGTTCAGCAACCCTCATACGGATCATCTACGGATCATCTACGGATCACGGGTTCCAGATCCGGCCCGTAGCTTCCTGTTCAACCTCCGGGCTCCAGCTATAAACAGTAAACTACTACATTTCTACTTCCCGTATCGGTCATTCATCCGCTAACATCATGAACACTCTAAACGAGTCTCTTTCTCCCCTCGCAGACGCTTCTGATACCCCTGGTCAAGACTTTAATCAGCTTGAGTTTTTTCTTCTCGAGTCCGACAGTTCCTGCTTCACGAGTGTCCGGGGTTTCCGAAAAACTGTATACCTCCACCGAACAGCACTTTTACAAAATAAAACGTCAAAACAATTCCTCGTGTTTACTGAAGTACCTCTGTCTAATTTTTATACACTATCTTCGGATGACGAATCAAGACAACGTCGTCTATATTACAATGTTTTGACAAAAACATTAATCGTCAAAGTTCTACCTCACCAGGCACACGAAGTAGCGATTCGAGATTTTGACAAGTTAGTTGGGAGGGAAATCACTAGATTAGGATTGGATGATGAAGTTATCCCACTTGGTTCTGCAACAACAACAGTAGGAAACTGGAAAAAAGAAGCTGATTCAAATTGGGTTTCTATAACAGAACATCATAATCCAAAGCTTGTTCTCGAAGTTGGACTCTCCCAGTCACAACGACAACTTGACCTTGTCAGTCGTGGGTGGCTTGAGTCTTCTGATTCATCTGTTCAAATAGTGATCTCAATCGCGATTTACCGTGATGTTCCTAAAATCCAGATCAACCGTTGGGAACTTGTGCCAAACCCCAACTACAGCCGAGCAACACACTCATTATCCCTCATATACTCTCGAACTGCAACTAAACAAATCTCCCACGCTGGCAACGAGACGGTTTCTACTTCTGGGACCTCGGACCTTGGCCTTGATTTCCGAAAGGTGACTGGTCGCAGCCAAGGTCCGGAAGCGAACTTCACCTTGAGTGAAGAGGGGCTTCGAAGATTTGCGGAACGAGTTTGGTTCGTGCAAGATTTCCTGAGAAATTTGCTTGAAATGGGCACTTGACCTTCTGCCTCGTTCATGAGCATTCCTATCTGGCTCCAGAGAGCGATACAGCGGCGCCGCAAAAGCTTCCAACTAGTAGCTACCTGAGACGAAAAGAATGGCCAATTTATACCATCTCAGGTAGCTACTAGTCTACTATTCGAAGGCGATAAATAATGGTAGGCAATAGACAGCTGGAAACTTCAAGCTTACAGCGCCACTGTACCCCCTATAACTTACTCCGCTAACCCTTGTGAGCTAAACTCTCTCTCTCTCTCTCTCTCTGAGTCTTCTTATAAATCATCAATTTTTTCTTTGGGATATTCATTGAGATATTGGCTATAATTTAGAAGGATAGCAGCGTGCGGAAGTACCTCTATCTATATATAAGCTCTGGAGACCTCTTGAACAAGAACAGCCTGAGGTAGTTAAATGTCCGGAGTACAATGGACGTACTAGCGGAGGTGTATCTAAATTTGGATTGGGAATATATACTAACCTACTACTAGCAATAGACTAAGAAGGACCATGGTCAAATTTAGTAAAAAGGGTGGTCGAAATAGCACTGGGGACCGGAGGAGGAGCGATAACCCCGTCGGGCCGACAGGGATGGACGCCGTTTAGATCCAACTCCCCACTATCCAGGGCCGGTGAATTGTGAATGGTATCTTCATGCGATGGCGTCAGATTTATCGGGAAATCCTCCCGACAGTCGCGTTGCTGCGATAGTTCGACTAGATCACGTCAAGAGCCGATATCGAAAAAGAAGTACGTAAAAAGGTCCATTCGACTCCGCTCGTATCGAAGATGCGGGGCAATCATTGGAAGATCCAAGTCCCAACTCTCGGATGGACATACATATAGAATAGGTATAAGAATGCGAGTAGCGGAGATTTGCCGTACCGACTAGGCTACTAGTATATAAGTGAAATCCATAGCGCATTTAATTGATTAGGAATATTTCGTTTACTACTACTCTCTAATACTATCCTCCATCTCGAAAGATGTCTGCCGCTCGTCGACCCCCGCCAGCCTACACGGCCCCTCCTGACTCGGGCATACACGCTACCTCCCAACTCTACCAGTCAATCTCCAAAACTGCATCCGACCCAGCAGCTCGTCTCCCCAAGGAATCTTTCACAATTCGACCATGCTCCGGTCAGGCTTGGGTAGTCCCCGCCGGTCACATCTGCCGGTTGACTACACCGCAGGGCCCGCAAGTGGGTGATTTGAACATCTGGAATGCTAACAACCCCCGCGAGCGTATGTGGGCCGCTCGCACCCGTCAGATCCACGCTTCCCATGTGTCTGTTGGTGATCGTCTATGGTCCAATCTACCCTGCCTGCGGCCACTGGTGACAATCACCGGTGATTCCCTCGGCGGCGGGCAATTGCATGATGTACTTGGCCCAGATGGGACGCGCAAGCCAGAAGTTGAATTCGGGACCACACAGTTTGGAGGTCGAGTGCACGACTTACTGGGGACTCGCTGCGACCCCTACGTCAATCTATTAATGGGCGGCGAGACATTTGATTTCCACTGCCACTCGAATCTCACGCGTGCCGTGTTTCCCTACGGATTGACCGAGTTGGATGTTCACGATGTACTGAATGTGTTTCAAGTGACGGGGCTGGATGAACAGGGGAAATACTTCATGGAGACCTCCCCCGCAAATTCGGGAGAGTACTTCGAGTTTTTTGCCGAGGTGGATGTTCTTTGTGCGCTATCTGCATGCCCTGGTGGTACGTTTCACTTCTGACACGAGGGCGCGAATACCCTGGACAACATTTTACCAATTGTACTGACCTTGTTTTCTCAGGCGACCTCTCTAATTGGGGGTGGGATGACAAGGAAGGGGGTATGGGCGCGACCTGTCGCCCTCTGGGGGTGGAGGTGTATCAGCTGGCGGACCCCAAGGTGTTGGAGGGGTGGAAGACGCCGGATAGCCCCAAATATCAGGGCCAACACGGTATGCGGATGCCGCCTCGCGAGAAGGATGGTTATACTGGACTGTAGCAAAAACAAGACTCGGAGCAAGACCAGAAATGACATGCATTCACACGTACACGTGATCGCCAGTGCCCCGCGTTTTGAGGGAGTTCCAGGATCGTAAGTAATATCGTCATCGGGTATTTGCCGCATCGTTACATCAACTCGGACCAAACCTAAACTAAACTGGGCCACCAGAATAGAGTGTTGGTCCACACAATGAGGTAATCCATCAATGGCGCAAGCAGTGTGCGAGGCACATCATCATCACCGTCAGCCTGGTAAGCTGGATATGTATGTCCTAGACATACTTATGGGAAGTAAGCTACGTAGAACTACTGCCTTAAGGTGGACTAATTGTAGAGACAATCACGACATGTTCATGTCGGACAGTGTGGAGACCCGCCGTGTAGTGTAACCGGTCAAAGTCGATAACCATCCGCTAGGTACGGAATACAGGAGGTACTCTACGTAGTAGTATGGAGTAAACGAGTCACCCTTATCAGTTTAGCCCAGGTCAACCCATTTCAACTCAGTTCAGGTACTGCCCTGGTAATACTGAACTAGGAAGAAAGCCTGGAGGAAAGGGAAACTTGAACGAAGGGGAAGTATTTAAGTCGCCCCTCCCCCCCACCTCCGCTTCTTCTTATCTCCACCACAGCTCGACCCTCCTTCGCTTCCCCTCCAACTCCTCTTCCTCCCTCTGTCCCTTTCTCTTTCTCCCTTGCTCAAATTCTATTGCACACTCCCTCCAAACAAAACTCGGATCCTTACCTCAGTTCTATTCCGTTGATCCAAAATGCCTCTTTACAACGTATGTGGCTAGCTTATCTTCCTACATCTCCAACTCAAAGGAACATCCGCTGACATCACTCACATCCAGGTTACCCTGAAGCAGGACTCTCCTCCCGAGGAGCTCGAGAAGTTTGTCCACCTCGAAATTTGAGTACACCGTATCTCTAAGCTAACAAAATTTGTTCACTCAGGGCCAAGGACCAAGCTCGTGAGAAGGGAGGCACCATCAAGCATGAGTACAGTCTCATCAAGGGCTTCACGTAAGTTGACGCGCCGGTACCCCTCAAGCCCCTCAAACCCCTCTATCCCGCCCCCTCCTCTCCCTTTCCCACCTAAATCCGAGTTATCACCGTTGGAAAACTTACTCACCATCAACCTATAGCGTCGAGTACCCTGAGGACCACGTCGATACCCTGGAGTCATCCGAGCACATCCACGTGGAGGCTGACGGCAGCGTCTCGACCCAGTGATTCGATTTCCCTTTCTTGATCAGTCTGGCTGTACCGATGGACCGTTGACGCTTCATGGGCCTTTCAACCAGACCAGAAAGGAGAGCGGGGCGGTACTCTTGCTTTTGGCGTGATGACTCAATACTGGACACACGCTTCGCCGCCATCTGCCTATCTTCTGTACATACTACCTTCTTCGAGCGTTTGATCCCGACTGGGACGGTTCATCCCCCTGTGTACCCTAGTAGGGAATGATTTTAACGAATGTCAATGACATCTTTACGATGGATCTTTTGTTTTTCTCGGTTCTACGCGAATCTATAGTACAGGAGTACCCAACACCAGGTACCTCATGTTACCATCTTCATAAAAGGCGGTGCTGACGCATCCTGCACCTTCTTTGTCATGATATGCAGGGAGGCTCAGATCGTCATGCAGGGCGTATGCTGTATCCAATGTCGAGCCACCCCTCAAGTTCGCATGGTGGGGGTTTACACTCAAAAATTGAATTGAATATACTGCAAAATTTGAACATGAACAGATAAACTGTGTCGCTGGAGGTATACTTGCTTCGAAAGTATCAAAGATAAGCAAATACTTGCATACCAAGCAGGGAAGTTCCCTGATAGTGTCCACTGTCCACTAGTAAAGCATTGCCAGGCCGAGGATATCCGCCCCCAGCGGATCGTCACCGCCTCAACAAAGATGAGCACGACCGAATTATCTCCCACACCAACTTCTCCCCTCCTCTTGCCCCACGGCACAAAATGGCTGCCATAATGTCAAGAACTCTGCCGGTTGGAGTTCAAAGGCGACTCTTGTGCACGCCCCAGAGCCTACTTCGCCTGTCTTCAACATCGCGGCCGGCTCACAATTGGTCCCTTCACAGGTCCGGCTCGGATGCCGCCAGAGACGAGGTTGCTCAGCTAGCCTCAAGCCCGCGTCGACGCTTGACACTGGCAGATTTACTGAGGTATATGACTGTTGATTCTTCAAACCTCATTTATCTTGAATAGCGCTCACACATTCTCCATTGTCTAGGCAAGGACGTCCACCACTGTCCAAAGAAGCACTGCTAGCTTCGGCGAATTTCACCCTCTCCCTCCCCCCGCGCGGTTAGCCTCGCGGATCCAAGCCCTGCGTAACCTCCCATTTATCGTCGTCTCCAACCCCCATGTGTCGAAGATATACAACAATTACCAACACTCACTGTCGGCCCTACTGCCCTACCAACAACGGGAGATCACAACTCTCGAGGAAGAGAATCGTTTCGGTGACGTGCTCGCCGACCTCGTCCAAACACATACCAACACCATCCCCGTTCTCGCGCGAGGATTCCTCGAATGTCAAAAGTACGTGAGTCCGGAGGACGTGACACGCTTCTTGGACACCCATTTACGAGCACGTATCGGCACTCGGTTGATCGCCGAGCAGCACCTAGCTCTGCATTATGCCTCACAACCAGTAACCGACGATCCAGCGAGTCGAGCACAGGCCGAGCCAGCCTCGCCTAATAGCTCTATTCCACCCAACTACATTGGGGTCATAGATACTGGTCTACAGCCTTCCCGAATCATCAGGCTCTGCGAGGATTTTGTTGGGGAAATCTGCGAGCTCAAGTATGGAGTCCGCCCACGTCTCGAAATTGGAGGAGAGCCAGAGGCTACATTCGCGCATATCCCTGTGCATGTGGAATACATCATTACGGAGTTGCTGAAAAATGCGTTCCGCGCGACTATCGAGTCGGGCAATGAACGCGAGCCCATTGAGATTACAATCGCCGCTGCGCCTGATGTCCCCGGGAAAGAGCATCCGTATCAGGAAGAGGCCGATGCTGGGGTCGATCTAGCCGAGGATACGTCTTCTACGAATGAGGCGATCGGATATTCGAACCCATCGTCGCAGAGTATTACAATTCGCATTCGTGATCGGGGAGGTGGCATCCCCCCTGAAGTCTTGCCTCATATCTGGTCATACAGTTTCACCACATTCTCTGATATGGATTTTTCCAATTCGGCGAATGGGAATCTTGACGCCTTGAATACACTGTCTGGTAGTGGTGGCCATTTGAGTAGTATTGCTGGTCTTGGGTATGGATTACCTCTGAGTCGTGCCTATGCAGAATACTTTGGTGGTAGCATTGCTGTGCAAAGTCTTTGGGGATGGGTACGGATGTTTACTTGACTCTACAAGGCGTTGGTAAGGTTGATTGAAAGATGTCATAATGTGAACAATCCCGGCGCGAGCTCGCCAAATGAATGGGACTCCTTTTACAGTCTCCCTTTGGCCACTGGCCGAGCAAGCAAGTCCACCAAGTCCACAATCGGTGTATCCATGTTCTCAACAACCTCCAACATATGGGCTATCTCTGTCTCTGAAAACAGGTGTGCCATATTGCACATGAATTTCGTTTGCAAAGCTCGCTTGGTTCGGGCGTCTCGCACATGGCCAATCGGGTACTCGACTAGAACCTCTGGAAGTACTGTGCCGTCTATAAGAACGACTGTCAACCCTGTGCCAATACTCTTCATGTCTAGATCCAAATAATCCCGGGTGAGCTGTGGATCAGAGCGAACACTTATCTTGCCCCTGAGATGTGCCAACTCGGCACTGACTGCCCATGGGCTTTCATCGGAGTAATCGGTTGCTGCTGGAGCACTACCTTTCAGGAAAGACAGAGCGACAACATACTGAATACAATGGTCTCGATCTGCCGCATTTTGTAGGGGACCGTTTTTGTTGATGATCAGGTTGGCCGCTTCAGATGTGCGCAGCTCAATACGTTCGATATGCTTGGTCGGCTCAGGCAGCCCTTGGTCCACTATCCTCTGCCGCTGCACGATAGCTGCTTCCACGGCCGAGATACCATGCCCCTCGACAGGCATCGTTTTGAAGAAAACATTTCGAACAGTCCACGTGCCAAATGGCCTGGGAAACTCGAACCCTCGTTCACCGAATGTTCGAGCCAGAAATCCCCATGGCTTTGCGGTCAATGCCTCTGGTGCCCCGGGCTGGCCAGCCCTGATATATAGAGCGATTTGTACAGCCCTGTGAGCGGCATCACCTGCGGCCCACCCTTTGCGTGGAATCGTGCTGCTTTTAGAACGGTAGACCCGGGTCGGGTGCCCATCCATCCAGACATGAGAGATGGAAGCCATAGTTTGTTCCTCCGTCAAGCCCATCAGCCAAGATACAACAGCGGTAGACGCCAGCTTCACCAATACTACATGATCGATTCCATATTTGTTGAATGCATTCTGCATTTGATAGCATCCCTGTATCTCGTACGCTTTAATCAATGCCTCAAGCAAGGTAGTCATTGTCAAGGGTGGTCCTGCATGTCCAGGACGACCTGGTATGGAAGCGCGAGATAACCAATCCATAACGGGAAGAATGGCTGCTAGGTTATCTATATTCATTCAAGTTGGTCAACTTCTGTTTCTATCCAGGATCATTCTATCTTCGATATGAAATACCTGATGGGTGGCCCCATTCCGCTCCTCCCAGTGCATCATTATGATCCAGATACCGTATCAAAACCCCCAGGTCGAAAGCGCCCTCGACAGGATCGACTTTTAAACTTGTCCCCGGCACTTGAAACGCACCGGGGATGATCGTGTCCTGAATAAGAGGCTGGATTAGACTCTGAGCTTCCAAGCTTGTCACTGCCGTCTCTATCGCACATCCTAATGCATCAAGAAGTGCCGTTCGAGCCCGTTCCCATATTATTCCATCGCTCTTGTCGAGTTTGAAATGATAGACGTAGTGTGTCACGTCAGCTATGGCCTTATCATACGGGCGAGCCATAGACTCAAGCAGCCTTGAGTATGATATCTATGGTGTATGTTGCGGTAGGTGGATGATGTGTAATTCAACTGGAGCTCTTGAAGATTTCGGCTGGACTACACTCTACTAGTAGATCGTTTGTCTGTAATCGTGTGCGACCATACCAGGCTGCAATGTTGCTTGGCCGGGCTCGGTCCATTCATGAGATTACCAGTTTAAACTCGAATGTCCCGTTCATCGCCATCCTTATCAGCCCCATGGTTACAAGCAGTCGTATATTTCAAGTTCTATATCCATTTTGCATTTTGCCAAGCTTGAAGATATTCCACCAGATCCTCGTAGATTTCTCGACTAGCTCCAAAGAGGAATTATCTCCGAAAATGACAAGCTGCCCCGATACTAGTAGCAGCTGAATAATGCAGCAGATGTATATGACGAACGGAATTATATGACCGAGGCGTGTCACTAATACCTAATACATAAGATGTGGGGGGGGCCTAGGAAGTATTGTTAACCCTTCTCGTTCCTTAGCCATGTCACAGTCAACACCCGAGGTTGATCCCACGTCGATTTATTAAATGTGATAAAATCTACTGATCGCCTGGCTGGGAGAGGCGCATTTGTATGTAAAATAGGGTTCTTCGGTAAAGCAAGACCTAAGCTGGAGGAGATGCCCCCACGCCTCCACATCCGTCGGACTTGTGTCCGAAGTAATGAGGCACTGCCAGTGGCGCGGGCAGCGATTCTGCCCCAGCTTCCCCTCATTGAGGTTGATTAAATAGCCATTCGTTATTTATACCTCGCCAGCTACCTTTACCTTTTTCATGGTGTGAACCTTTTTGCAAGTAAGAACAAGAAAGCAATCATGTATGTGCACAGTCTAGTATCCTGGAATCCAGTCCTCAGCTCACCCAAGCCAGGGTTTATACCGCATCTTTTGCATTCTTTGAAGCTCTATGGGAGGTAAGTAATGAGAGCACCGACAAGATCTCGAGGCTTTGCTCATTTAATATCTACCAACCAAACCGAACCTCATGCTAACTACCATCCCAGGGAGGCGTAACCCATGTCTTCGTCAATCTAGGCTCCGACCACCCCTCAATTCTCGAGGCCATGGTCAAAGGCCAAAAGGAGAGAGGAGACCAATTCCCCACGATTATAACCTGTCCCAATGAGGTACGTCGCGGATCACACCATTCGAAGATCAGCACCTTACCCCTCCCCCTCCCTCCTCGGCTACCTTCGGAAGGCACATACAGTACATACTATTACATTGTACAACGAATGAATCACATCCATTGGAGTTGAGCCCCACTGACCTGAACACGATGGTAGATGGTCGCACTCTCAATGGCCGATGGCTACGCCCGTTTTTCAGGGAAACCGCAAGCAGTCATCGTCCACGTCGATGTTGGAACGCAAGGACTCGGCGCAGCAGTGCATAATGCCTCATGTGGACGCGCACCGGTTCTTATATTCGCGGGTCTTTCGCCGTATACGATTGAAGGCGAGATGCGCGGGTCACGCACGGAGTATATTCATTGGATCCAGGATGTTCCCGATCAGAAACAGATCGTTTCGCAGTATTGTCGATATTCCGGAGAAATCAAGTCCGGTAAGAATGTCAAGCAGATTGTTAATCGGGCCTTGCAATTCGCCACAAGTGATCCCAAAGGTCCGGTTTATCTTGTCGGTGCACGCGAGGTGATGGAGGAGGATATTGAGCCTTATCAGTTGAATCAGAAGGTTTGGGGTCCTGTTGCCCCGGCGGCTTTGCCTCCTGCCGGCATCGAATTGATTACTTCGGAGCTGGCTGCTGCAAAGAATCCTCTGGTTATTGTCGGGTATACGGGTCGACAGGCTCAGGCTGTGACGGAGCTGGTCTCGTTGGCAGATACCTTCAAGGGTATTCGTGTGTTGGATACTGGCGGTAGTGATATGTGCTTCCCAGCGGACCACCCAGCCTGGCTGAGTCTGCGATATCCTGGACACGAGGCTGTTCAGTCTGCCGACTTCATTTTGGTGATTGATTGTGATGTACCTTGGGTCCCTACCCAGTTCAAGCCATCTGAGACGGCTAAAATCGTCCATATCGATGTGGATCCCTTGAAGCAGCAGATTCCAGTTTTCTATATCCCATCCATGGCTACCTTCCGAGCAGATTCTGTTACCGCCCTCAAACAGATCAACGATCATGTCGCGAGCAACAGTGAGCTGCAGCAGTTTGTTAGATCCAAGGAGAATTTGCTTCTACACCAGGGCCGTGATGAAGTCTACCAGGCACGACGAAAAGGAGATTGCCGACCTCGCAGTCGTCCCGGAGGGTGGTCTCGATGCACCCTTGAATGTCAACTACCTGATGGGCCAAGTACGAAAGTCCTGTCCGTCTGATGCGATTTGGGCGATTGAATCCGTGACTCTGACACACTTCGTCGCCGACCAAGTAGCAGCCACTGAGCCAAATTCCTGGATCAACTGCGGTGGCGGTGGTTTGGGATGGAGCGGCGGTGGAGCACTGGGTATTAAGCTTGCTACAGATGTGCAGCATGGAGGACCTGGCAAGGGTAAATTCGTCGTGCAGGTGGTCGGTGATGGAACTTTCCTTTTCTCCGTGCCTGGATCTGTCTATTGGATCTCACGTCGCTATGGAATCCCTGTTCTGACCATCGTGCTGAACAACAAGGGTTGGAATGCTCCGCGTCGTAGCATGCTGCTGGTCCACCCGAGTGGTGATGGTTCGCGTGCCACGAACGAGGATTTGAATATCTCGTTTGCGCCGACGCCTGACTATGCTGGCATTGCGAAGGCTGCGGCTGGTGGGGAGATGTGGGCTGGTCGGGCGTCGACTGTTCAGGAGCTGTCAGAGAAATTGCCGGAGGCTATCAAGAGTGTTTTGGATGGTAAGGGTGCGGTTTTGGAAGCGCAGCTTGATGGAACGACCGGCAAGTATGTAGAGAAGTCATAGAAGTAGTTTAATTTTGCCTGGTACTGAATAGACATCTCGTCGCATTTCGGCAATAATAAGCCCATAGGTAGCTATAGTCTAGACTGAGGTACAGAATGAATTAATTACTAGTATGATTGACTAGAGTAATGGCTGTAGAAAATTCCATTTGCATTCAAGCTAAGCCGCCGATTGCTTTTCCGTAGTCTCAGGAGACCCGCGCGTAGAGTATCGCATGCAAGCCCACAAGACGAGAAGGAAAATACTGCTGAAGAGCAGCGTAATGTAGGCTATATTGTCGCCTATGACAGAAAACATCCGATTGTCCCAATTCGCCCACGAATTGCCATCCACCTGAGTGAAGAAGACCCAAGGGTCTGCACCAGGGCGCCCATCCATGAGAATATGATATAGAGGGGCGAGCCCAGGCTCGTCACTACCTTGGAGCCATTCTTCTTCGCGGGATAATAATGAGTGATATCTTTCCCACATTGCTGTAAAGTACCACTGGCCACTGGCATACATGATCGTGGCGTAGGGGAGTATGTAGTTCACTTGCCAGCGGAGTAGATTATCGGTCAGGAGGGAGAATAGTGGATGACCACGCTGGCCACCGACAATATTGTTACTCAGAGCTCCGTGGCCGCCGTCGGTAGTAAATGCTGGATAGTAGAGGAGTGGTTCAAGGTTTGCAGCACAGCCCTGGTACACACGTAAAAGTCAACCAGCGAATCGATGTAGACGAGAGAGAGAAAGATGTGCTGATTTAGAACCCACTCACATTATCCAAATCGATGTAGATCCCGCCATAGTAGCGAAGGACAAAGTATTTGATAACATCTACCTTCTGCACGGGATATGGGTATCGATCGTAGACGGGGAGGAACCAGGGGAACTTTTCCTCAATGAACTTGCGAGATGATTTGGTTGTCCACAGCTAGAGTAGAGCCACTCGATTTTAGCGCCGTGAAATAAATATCCAGTGAAGGTCTTGGGAGCACTTACCATATGCTCCCAGTCGGGATGAAGATTCACACAGGTTTTCCGGGCTGCGGCCCAGTCTGGCCGGAGAGTATCATCGTTCGCATCGTGCCAATTGTGGAAGATCTGGTGGATAATTTTGGGAACCAGAGGCTCTCGCGGATCGGGGTTGGTCTTATGGGCAGCTGCAATCTCGGCCTGGGTAATTCGAATGCCGGAATGGGGCTTTGTGAGACCGAATAATTGAGCAAAGGCGATGATGCGGGAGATGGTGTAGATCACAGCAGCGATGGCCAGCAAGGTGAGGGTAGTGAGTAGAACACGGCGATACAATCGTGGACCCATGATGGATTCACGATGGAAGAGGGTTAGAGATTAGAGAATAAAAGAAAGGAGAAGTGGAAGTAGAAGAAGTTCAAGTTTATTGATTGAGGCTGCCTTTGGTATGTGAAGCAGTGTTGGCGATCCCATGACTGCACGTGGTGGCCCTCGCGAGTTCATTGGCATGCAAGTATACCTAGGTACTATAGCAGTACTAGTACTAGTAGAAGTATACTTCATAGTTAATAGTTATATACTATTATTATATACGTAAATAATACTAATATTATGCTCTGCATCCTCATACTATAGACATAATGCTAGTAAGTGTAGTAACTACTGTAGCAAACCTGTATAGATCGAGTGGGTCACGGTCGCAGCTCTTCTTTAGCAGCCCCTTCGCTTCTCCAATTTGGAGAACGGAGACCTTCCCGCAATTGCCAGCTTCTCCGCATTCCCTTCTTCCCTCCCCCACCCCCATCAATCATGCACCATGAATATTATGAGCCATGAGCAGCAAGCCCTATCAGTGTCGTCGGTGCCCACGGGCCTTTGCTCGTTTGGAGCATCTCCAGCGCCACGATCGCTCTCGTCCGTCCACGCTCCTCCGCCCCACCTCAACCAAACCCGCTTTGCTAATCCTTCGACAGACACAAAAGAGAAACCCTACACCTGTGGTCAATGCCCCAAAGCCTTTACACGAAAGTACGTCGATCGGTCTCAAACCATGCGTGAGGCTCTCTGGCCACCTAGCCACCTCCTAACAGCGACCTAGGGACCTGCTGGCTCGTCATGAACGACTCACCCATCAAATCGGAGACACTCCCGCAAGCCATGTGCAACCGCCCTCGCCTGCCCGTCCCGTTTTCGATGGCCTGGATACATTGGCATCAGTCGTGGCCAACCATGGTCATCCTCATCTGCCACTCCCGGGGAGCAATGGCCAATTTCCGGACAGCCTGCCCGCTCGCCAAACCCCGGCGCCGTCTACTACCCAGCTGCAAAATCCACAAACCCCGTCGGCAGGCCCGACGACTCCAATGGATGGCTCGGTCTTTGGCTATGCGATTGATAGCTTAGCGGCAGGTTCATACGAAGGGAACGACTTCACCTCTTTCCTTGACAGCGTTCCTCTACCGAGTCACCCCTACTCCCCCGCCTTCCAGCCCCTTCCGCTATTCCCGCCTCTAGTGTTTTCCCCAGTTACGGACTATGAGCATTCCTCCGAAAGAGACCACCCATCTGCGGAGACGGCTTCAACGCCGTCAAGCTCTGTTCTGCCCCGTCATGGCGCACACCTGCCATCCCTGCAACCGGAGGGCTATCAAACTACGGCCAAGGCACGCCAACCAACAGGATTTGTTCCTGTCACAAGTCAATGCCGTGATAAAGTTCTCGCGCTTCTGGAGGGTTTTGCTACTGTAGCGCCAAACCCTTCGCTGCCTTCCCGTCATGCACTGTCTCGATGCCTGACGGGGTATCTAATGGGATTTCACGATCACTATCCGATCGTACATAGGCCGACATTAGATGTGGACTCCCTGGGCCTTCCGCTTTTCCTCGCCATGGCCGCTCTAGGTGCTCGTTATAGTCGAGAGCCAGATACAAGCATGCGCTTGTATCAGATCGCCAAACCTGTCACACTGGAGCATTTTCGCCGAGTCTTCCAGTCGGGTACTTTACCAGCCGTGAATGCAGCTAATGATATCGATACCCTTGAAACTATTCAAGCTCTGCTAATGCTCATGTCTGTCTCATCGTGGTTTGTGGATAATCCTCCATATCATGACGCGCTGTCGATTCAAAGTCTGATGGCGACGCTCCTCAGAAAAGACGGTGTTAACCTTTTACCGGAGCAAGATGGGTCATGGGCCAGCTGGATCCGTTATGAAAGTGTGAAGCGCACGAAACTGATCGTTTTCTGCTTTTTCAATATTCAAACAATTGTATTCGACATACCCCCAGTCATCTTGACCGAGGAGCTATCCATGGACCTTCCCTGCACGGAGCGAGAATGGCAGGCTTCTACCCCGGAACAATGGGAAGCGGCGAGAAGCCAAAGTCAAGGGGAGCCTGGATTTCAAGGTGCCCTATCTGCCTTGTTTAGCCCTGATAGTGCAATGGAGCCAGGATTCTCCTCTCTTGGCGGAATTGTGTTGATCCATGCGATGCTTCAAGATATCTGGGTGATGACCAAAGCGACCCGCTTGGCTCTGTCACGATATAACCGGCTCGGCTCACCTGTCCCTTCTACACCAGGCCTGCTTGCAGTTGAACAAGCATTGGAAAGATGGTGCCAGTGCTGGGAGCGCAATCAAGAGTCATCGATTGACCCACTCAGTCCACATGGCCCACTGTCCTTTACTTCCGCGGCCCTTCTACGGCTAGCTTATATCCGGCTGAACGCAGACTGTGGTTCCGCACGGCAGTTGCAGACTTGGGATCCGGTGCAAATTGCTGCCAGTCTTAATAATAACCTCTCAGTACAACGTGGAGATCGCCTCACACGAGCAGCGCTCCACTGTGCACATGCGCTTAGTACCCCAGTCAAGCTCGGGATCGGGTTTGTGGCCCACTCACAGGTCGCTCTATGGTCAAACCAGCACGCCCTATGCTCGCTTGAATGCGCGGTGCTTCTAGCTAAATGGCTCGAAGCGGTGACCGTAGTGAACCCAGATCCCGCATTAACGAACCAGGAGACCCGCTTGAGGGACTTTGTATTGGAGATGGTGATGGAGGCACAACATGATGTCTCACGCGAGTGGCTTCTTGCGACTAATACTCGACTCAGCGCAGCGGTCACCAGGCTGTGGGCACGCCTTTTCACTGCAGACTATATTTGGGAGATGGTGAATCTGATCGGGCGATCATTAAATAGTTATGCGGAACTTTTGGAGCAGAAGACGGCCCATGTTAGTTAATAATTAGATAAGACAAGTCTCTGTAAATTGGCGAAAAAACAGTGCTGGCAGATTTTCTGTACTCGTACTTATTCCCCGCGGAGATGTAGTGTATAAACCGCGACCGACTGCATTCTCGTACGTGCCGTGACCACATCCAAGCGGATCGATGCAATTCCGCCACTATTGAGCTTGACTAAGAGCTCATCCGTACTCGGTGACTCACCCAAGCCCTAATTCTATGAAGACGGTATTTATACTCCTCATCGCCCTTGCCTTAGTACACCAAATCCCACCAACACCAACGGTTTAGCCTGAATCAATCAATAGCCCATCCACCATCCACCATCCACCATGGCCCCATCCCCGCTCACTGCAAGCCCTCACCTCCAGGCTCACCTCAAAGCCCTACACTCTCAATCCTCCGTTCAAGAATCAGGTTTGGACTGGGCCAGCCTCCCCAAGCAATGCACCGATGCCTTCGACGATATCATGCGCGACAAGTTCATCGCCTTGGATCAGGATAAGTGCGAATTGATCTACCATGTTCTGCGCAGCATCAATGCCAAGACAGTCGTCGAGGCTGGAACTAGCTTCGGTGTAAGCACCATCTACCTTGCTCTCGCGGTTGCTCAGAATGTAGCCCGCGATTCTCAGTCTCAGGCACAACAGGGAAGAGTAATTGCCACAGAGAAAGAACCATCAAAGGCGAGTATTGCACGGGAGAACTGGGAGCGCGCTGGAGATGAGATCCAGGGCGTGATTGATCTGAGGGTTGGCGATTTGCGAGAGACTTTAGAGAAGGACTTGGGAACTGTGGATTTCCTCCTCTTGGATAGTGAGTATACCTCTTTCCCCTTCTGCGGACCATGGTTGACCTTTTTCCAGTTTGGACACCGCTGGCCCTACCTGCGGTCAAGCTTGTCAAGCCATATCTCAGGCCTGGTGCCGTGATCATGGCAGATAACACGCTCAAGGCGGATGTTGGTTATGAAGATCTTTTGGACTATCTGGATGCACCGGATAGTGGGTTCCGTCGAGTTACTCTGCCTTATACCGGTGGCCTGGATATGATTATATACCAGTAACCTGTGCACTATGTATATGAGGGACTATAGCTGCCAAGTCCGCCACATCGCAATTTCGCCTAGTAACCAGGAATCTTGCTGGCAGAAAAACCGACGCCCTGTCAATTTAAACTCTCTATCTTCTATATATCTCCAATATCTATTACGTCTAGGCTTTGAGAGAGAGAAGAGGTAAATTAATATTCATCAATACTATTACTAATCATTGATAATTAATTATTAGTTAAACAAGGTAAGAAGAAAGAATATATACAAAAAACAATCAGACAATAGCTACCTACTAAGTATATATTACTAATAGCCAAAAAATAAGATATTCAAAAAGTAATTAGAGAATAGCTATGAAATACTTTTTTTTGAGGAAGACCTCGGGAGTACATAATCATATTTAAGATCCAGACTCTTCCAACTTGTAGCTTCAATGGGCAGCCTCAAATTGTAACTTTTCATTTGTTTTCTAGGCAGAGCGGTGCTCATTTTCGCCTTGCAGGACCCAGTGGCTAGGGCCTATCGAATTCATCACGAGCCGGTATCTTTCATCACATAGAAAATAGTTGTTAAAGGAAGCCAGAGCATCCACAGATATTGTATCATTGCGTGGTTTGAGGACATGCCCCTCAAACTGAGAATAGGGATGAGGATTCCCAAAACGCCAGCACAACGCACCTTGAGCAGAACCAATGCCTCCAGCTCCCACGAGTAAAAAACGATATTGTGGTGAGGAGCGAGCATATATCGCATCAGGCAACAACGTCATGACATATGGACTGATCCCCGGCCTTAAGTTAATCCAATTGGTAGACTCGGCTTTCTCCAAGACCATAGGTTCGAATTTCAGGATCTTGAACCGTGACCTCTCCCGGGGCCTCACCCGCGGTTCGCCCCGGCTCAATAGACGGCAAATCATATTCTGCTCGTTTGGGTATATATGAGTGCCTACCCAGGGGACCTTGGGAGAGTATCGTAGTTCCTGTACCCGCAAGCACAGGCTAGGCTTCGACTTGATGGTCTCAAGCCCTCTGGGCAAAATCCTAGCCTCGACAGATATAAGACGGGTAGTCTTCAAGCCTAGGTCATCTATGGATTCGCGAACTTCTGTGTAGCGTAGGGAATCGGGTCTAATTCCAAAAGAGGGCCCATGCTGGGACCTTCGCATTGCAAGTTGAAGGTGAGCGAAACGGAATTGGACAGGTGGTGGGAGATAATAGGGGCCTCTCCGACGAGCCGGTTTTCCGCCTATACGGAGACCGTCTTTCTTTATCTCGGCGCTAATTATTGGATATTTTAACTCCGGGAGCTTTATATCCTCCCACTTATGAAGTCCCAGGCAGTCAAAACAGAAGTGAAAGTGCGGTAGCTTGGGATCCATCATTTTCAAGAAATTTATGCGATGCTTTTGAGCAAGCTGGAAAGAAGAGGTCTTTTTGAAAAAAAGACACGGGAAATGTCTTTGTAACACTTTCATCAGGCTGTGATTATATAGCGCGAGGCTGGCGATATCGACTGGTTTCAGGGAGTCGCAGATGCATAGTATGAGTTCAACGGGGAGGTTTCCCAGGTGGCATGGCATGGCTTCGGCCATTTTAATTTAACAGCGAGAGACGTGAAGGAATTTTAGAGTGATATTGTATGAGAAAAAAAATGGTGTTCTACTATAGTATAATGGACAATGGACGACAAGCCCGATGCCCAGTCGGGAAATATCGTAAGAGTAATTGTACCATGAAATGGACAAAGTTTATTCGGTCTTAAATCTAATTGAGAACACCAGAAAAGTATTAGTCAAAGGAGACATAAATTTAGACAGTATAGGAATACCAGGCAATCATGGTATTCAAGTTCACATTCCGAGGTTGTCAGTTTGAACTTCCAAAGGCTTGGGATACTCCAAACCCCGCAAAGCTCAGTATACTTCCCCACCCTCGAATTCCCCGCTTCACTTCACTTCACTTCAAGTTCGACCTCACACTCTATCTTCCGCCATTGACCCCCTCACAAACCCCATACACATCCAATGGCAACCAACAATTTCCATCAACCGCCCAAAAACGAAGAAGGCGCCTTCTGCGCCGGCGGTCCCACGCCAACCTTCAACCCACCCCAAACCCCAACAACAGCAAACTACCGCCTCAACCACCTCGCAATCCGAATAAAAGATCCAACCCGCTCTCTCCGTTTCTACGTCGACCTCCTCGGCATGCGCGTCGTGTTCTCTATGAATGCAGGCCCATTCACGATATACTATCTCGGCCACCCGCCGCCCGGAACGGAGGATTTGGATAGTTGGGCTAAAGAGACGAGTGAGATCCCGGTTATGACGCGGACGAGTGGGTTATTGGAATTGTACCATATGCACGGGACGGAGTCGAAAGGAGATGGTAATGGCAATGAGGATGGTGGTCAAATATCCAGTGGCAATGTGCCGCCCAATCTAGGCTTTGCGCATTTGGGATTCACGGTGCCGGATGTACCTGTTGCGGTGGAGAGATTGAAGAGTGCGGGGGTGACGGTTCTTAAAGATGTGGGTGTTTGTGAGAGGGGGCATGTTCCTTTGTCAGAGTGGGAGGCTGAGAGGGGCGTGGGTGTTGGGGAGATTCATCCTAATTATGCTTGGTTTTTTGAGAAATTTGCCATGGTGGCTGATCCGGTGAGTTCTTTCCGTGCTCTTGTGTCTGTGACTTGATTATATTGGCTGCAAGGATACACAGTATTCTATACTATATACGTGGGCCAGGTTTGCCAAGAACTTGAGCTTGAGCTGACGGCTCCAGGATGGATATTCTGTCGAGTTAATCCCGCAGAATATTTGAGCTTTATCGAATCCTACCTGTAGAAATATGGGCTAAGCTGCTTTACTTTTACTTGCGAGGCAGGAAACAGGTTGTGCGGGCAAAAAAAATGGGGCTGACTTTGAGCATCAAACAGCCCCAAGACGTATTTGGAAATAGGCCTATACATATCCAATGGTACACAAAGTGAGAATAATATTATGCTTTCACCAGCTTTCGTCCTCGGCCACGTCGTAATCCATCTCGTTGTTCTCTTTGCGCGGTGGTGGCGCGCTCACCGTCGGAGTCGAGTCCATCATCACGTCTTGCTCGTCATCACCGCCGCCATTCTTTGACTCTGCTGTTGGACCAGATGTGGGATTGGCGACCGGTAGGTTGGGAAGCCATGAAAGCTGGGCTTCACCAGAGGAGGTGAGAGACCAGGGACTGAACATGAACTTCTCGGCCTGGTATCGCTCTTTGAATGCCACGACGACGGAATCAGATTGGCCGGGGTTCGACTCTATAGATTCGTAGTCGCCAACGCCCTGGAAAAAGAAGAATAGTTAGCATTTTTTCCAGAGTCTTCTCCAACACTTGCGAAATGACTTACCATTAGATGCTGTCGCAGGGCTTCGTCTTTCTCCGAATGCAGTGACACGCCTGATACGGCAACTCGTCGAGGTCGGTTGTCTAAACGCAATACACCTCCGCGGCCACGAGGAGCAAATCCACCTCGGCCACGATATCCACCCCGGTATGAAGGATCGTAGGTTCCACGTCCGCGGTATCCGCCTCGGCCACGGAAGCCCCCGCGGCCACGATAACCACCACGACCGAATGAAGCGTCAGCATTAGCGTCAAGACCGAGGGTCTGAGCTTCAGCTTCGAGGGCAGCTAACTGTGCGCGGAGCTTCTTAGTTTCATCGCTCACATTCTCGTCCTCAACCTGCATGCTGGAATCTTCCTCTGCGCCTTCACTGCCGTTACTTGGCGCAACGCCCAATCGCTGGAGAAGACGTGATTTTTCTTCCTGCTGCTTTTTCATGAGTTCGTCACGCTGGCGCTCGAGAGCTTGCTTGGCTTCTTCGGCTTCTTGCCTCTTCTTCATTCGCTCCTCATGCGATTTTTGCGCCTCCTGCTGTTGCTTCTCAAACTCCTCTTGGTTGAATGCGGGCTCTTCGGGCTTATTCTCGCCGTTCCTCTCGTCACGCTTGGGTTTATGCCAGTAGACCTTTACAAAGCGGTTGTCGAAGATCACCTTCGGACTGGACCAGGCCTGCTTGGCCTCCGCGAAGGTTTCAAACTTGACCAAGGCGATCTTTTTGTACGGTTGCAACGTCACCTCCGTGATGTTGCCGAATTGAGAGAAAAACTCGCGCACTGCCTCTTCGGAGAACTTGTCGTCCGGGATTTGTTCCACGACAATTGTCGTGATAGATCGGTCCTCGTTTGGTCCTGCAGACGAGAAATCGGACCGGCCGCGTCCTCGTCCGCCGAAGGCACCACGGCCACGGCCACGTCCCCGATCATTGCCACGCGTGGACCCGCCATCTCTTTGTGAGTCGGACATCATTGTCGAAGATCGCGGATCATATTCTAAAGCAGTAAATCTTAGTAAAACAATCACAAAACAGCAAACAACTATTGCATACCGTTGGTATTGGAGGACTCGGGTCCCCCATGCTTGTAAGGGCAAGCCGCTCCCAAGTAGCAGATACCCTGATTCTCATACAACGGGCAAGGCTGGCTGGCCATTTCTTCGGCACCGGGCTGGCCTGGGCCTACAGGCATTCCTGGCATAGGCGGCATGCCGGGCATCTGGGGGGAAACCCATGCCTTGCATAGCCATCATAGCTGCCATAGGATCATTCGGGTCGAATGGCGGGAATCCAGGCACCATGGGGAAACCACCAGGCTGCCCTTGCTGAAACTGCTGCCCAGGACCCTGCATATGGCCTCCTCTGCCCATCCAGTCCCCACGAGCACCGCCGCGGCCTCGGCGCGGAGTTTTCATAGCACGATTCTGCATATTTCCACCATCACGCTCTGGCTCGCCTTGGAATCCCTCGTTGAATGACCGCTTGCGACTGTTGTAATCACCCCTGGGGCCGGTGGGTGCGCCAGTGGGTGCGCCGAATTGCTGCTGGAACGGGGCTGTGGGAACGGGTTGCGGGATGGCTTGGGCTTGAGGAGCTTGCTGTGCTGGTGCTGGCGCGGGGGCTGAGTTGGGGCCAAAGTTGGCAAAGAGCTCATTGACAAACGGGGTAGTATCTAGAGCAAGGTAAGCGACCGGTCAAAATGTCTCAGCGCAAGTTCTGACAAGCCTACGTTCGCGGAGAAAGTCTTCGAGGTTCTCTATCGAGACTTTTCGGATTTCATCATCTGGCGCGTCCGACCTGATAAGTGCCAGCACGTAATCTGCGAGAACATCTGAGTCTGCATCGGAGCTAGAATTGGAGCAAACGGACGGTCAGTAGGGATTCCTGGCGAGAAACGACAGTGTCTTGCGAGTGGCTCACATGTCCTCCAGCTTCTTGACAACCCAGTTCTTCACCCGGTCGGCTTCTGCGTCGGTAAGCTGCATCGCGACGAGGATCGCAGGGCCTTTAGTCACTTGAGAGACCGAATTGATAGAGGCAATGGGAATCGATTGATTAAGGCGCCGGTAATTGCAAGGATTCGGGTGACGGCAAGCTGCAGAAAGCTGTGGGACAGATTCCTCACACGGAGTTTCGGCGATTTCCCGTAAAATGCGAGGATAGCGGATCAAGTAGTGCAGTTTACGAGAGTAAATAGAACTCTCCTCCAACCACAGCAACAGGCGATTGAGAATAAAAGTTTGGAAGCGAAGAATCAACGGAAAACGCGATGGCGCGCGATAATGATCACGTGATGATATGATGGCGCCAAGACCGTCTATTCAAGTGTGGCTGATTGTGGCTGATTGTGGCTGGTGGTGGGTGAAGAGCTTTCACTCGTACTTGAATTATTCAGCTGCAAGACTATTATACTACACGGCTACAATTTCACGGTACTACAATGCTACAAGAAAACGCTACTACGAGATAATGCACAACGGTTTAAGTCTAGCATACCATATTGATTTTCATGTCCAAATGGCAGCCAGACAGCAAAAAAAAACATCAAAAGGAAAATCGAACATCATCAAACAATAACCATGGAGACAATAGCAAACGGACAGCGTCCAAAGGTGCCCGAGACATCCCTCGGCGCTCCACACTTTCTAAAGACGGCAGTGATTGAAGCAAGCCCGCCAAGCGGCGGGTATGAATTTTTGTTTGAACCGGGAAGTTGTATTGCATTCATCAATCTCATAAAAAAAGATTCCATATTTGGCTCCCAAGAGCGCAGTTTGACCGGCCGTTAACTTTTTTACAGCTTGTCGTAGTACTATTGAAATAGAAGTTAGTAAATGATCAACCAAAAGGCATGCAGTAAAAGATGAGTAAAAACTTACGTTCTCGTAGCCGGGAACAACCTCCTTGAGACCCTTGCGCTTACGCATCTCAGTAACAACCTGACCAGGCTTGGTGGTGGTGTCCAGAGGAGAACCACCGGGCAGGATAGCCCAATGATCGAAGACGGACTGGGGGAAGGCCTGACCACCGGTGGCGGAGCGCAGATCGGAGTTGAAGCCGAAGGACTCGTTGACGGGCAGGTAAGCCTTGACGTTGAACAGAGGGGTACCGGGGCGCTGCTCCTCAGTGTAGACGTGACCACGACGGCGGGTGAGGACACCGTAGATACCACCCATAGCCTGCTCGGGAACCTGGATCTCGACGTTGAAGATGGGCTCAAGAAGACCGGGCTCAGCCAGCATAGCGGCGGCGTACAGAGCACGACGAGCAGTGGGGATGATCTGACCACCACCACGGTGAATGGCATCAGCGTGCAGGGTAACATCAAGGATGTTGAAGCGGACGGAGCGCATGGGCTCCTCAGCAACAGGACCCTCACGGGTGGCCCACTGGAAACCGGAGACAACGGAATCCTTGATCTCGTTCAGGTACTGAACAGCCTTGGTCTGGTCAATGAGCAGGTTGGCACCGGTGGTGTCGGGACCGAAGCACCAGATCTTACGGGCATCGGTGACATCCCAGCCGTACTCGTCAGCCATGACACGGGCACGAGCCTTGAAATCGTCACGGGGAGAGACCTTGCCGGTCTCGATGGCCTGGGAGAGTTCCTCCTCCATGGGCTGAGCAGTCATGTACAGACGGTTGTGCTTGTTGGGAGACTTGGACAGAGCAGTCATGGAGGAGAGGGCAGTGACGGTCTCACGGTAAGAGACAACGGGGTCGGAGATACGGAGAGGGACACCGGCGTGGTCCTCCTCGAGATCCTTAAGACAGATCTCCAAGTGGAGCTCACCAGCACCAGCGACGACGTGCTCACCGGACTCGTTGATCATGGTCAGGACACAGGGGTCGGACTTGGACAGACGCTTGAGACCCTCGACCAGCTTGGGCAGATCCTGGGCGTTCTTGACCTCAACGGAGCGCTGCACAACGGGGGAGACGGAGAACTTCATGACCTTCAGGTTGTGGGCGGTCTCATCGGTAGTCAGGGTACCGGACTTGAGCAGGAACTGATCGACACCGACCAGACCGACAATGTTACCGGCAGGAACGTCCTCAATTGGCTCGACAATACGACCCATCATCAGAACAGTACGCTGGATGGCCTTGATGAACAGGTCCTCCTTCTTTCCGGGGACGTAGTTGGGGCCCTGGATGCGGACCTTAACACCAGACTTGACGGTACCGGCGTAGACACGACCGAAGGCGTAGAAACGACCCTTGTCGGAGGTGGGAACCATCTTGGAGACGTACAGCATCAGAGGAGCAGTGGGGTCACAGTCGCGGATACCAATGCAGGCCTTGTCGTCGAGGGGGACCCTCGTACAGAGTCTCGGCACGGTACTTCTGAGCAGTGACGGGGGAAGGCAGGTGGATACAGATCATCTCCAGAAGGGCGTCAGCGGCAGGCAGGAACTTGCGCATGACACACTTGAGGAGCTGCTTGCCCTCGAGGTCCTTCTCGTCGTTGGCGAGCTTGATGTCGAGCTTCTCCAGAAGGGTGGTGATCTCATCACGCTTGTTGTGGTTGACAGCAGCGAAGATCTTGAAGATGGGGTCCAGGATGAACTGGTTGAAGGCACGCTCAAGGGGCTTGCCATCGGCACCCTCACCCTTGTTGGTCCACTTCTTGGTCTTGGGGTTGAAGTAGTTGTCGCCCCACAGACGCTCAAGCATCTTCTTGCGGTCGACACCGAACTTCTTGGCGTACTTGATAGCGAACTGGCGGACAGTGAAGCACCAGCCGTGAAGACCGGAACCGAAGGCAATGGTACCTCTGTCGGGGTAAACCTGGACGTCACCGAGAGTCTTGTCGAAGTAGGTGGAGATGATGACGTTGACGGACTCGACGGTACGGGAGAAGGACTGGTACAGATCCTCCTTGGTGCACTGCAGCTCAAGAAGGGCACGGTCGACCTTGTTGATGCACAGAACGGGCTTGATACGCTCGGTCAGGGCCTGACGCAGGACAGTCTCGGTCTGGACACAGACACCGGAGATACAGTCGACAACGACCAGGGCACCGTCAGTGACACGGAGAGCGGCGGTAACCTCAGACGAGAAATCAACGTGACCGGGGGAATCGATCAGGTTGATCAAGAACTCGTGACCATCGACCTTCTGGGGGATCTCCTTAAGATCCTCGGGGTCGGGGAACTTGGCGTACAGGGAGATGGCAGTGGACTTGATGGTGATACCACGGTCCTGCTCATCAGGACGGGTGTCCATGTAACGACCCTCACCAGCCTTGGCGGAGGAAATGATACCGGCACGGTGGACAAGGGCATCGGACAGAGTGGACTTTCCGTGATCGACTGGATGAAGATGGATGATTAGATGGTGTGATGAGGGAGATGGGGATGGGGATGGGGGTTGAACATACCGTGAGCAATGACGGACATGTTACGGATGTTGGCCGGCTTGTCCATCAGGCCACGGATCTCCTCAAGAGTGAAGCTGGAGTGATGTTAGTTGGAAAATTCATCAAGATCCTCACGCTGCACATTTTTTTTCGGTGATGCTCTCCAGAGTTGACTTACTTGACCATCTTGGCGGTTGTTTCCTCAAATGAGCCCTAGAGGCGGGGTAATGAGAAAAGGAAGAGAGTAAAGAAGAGCAACACACACAAATGATCGAGACCGAGTATCAACCCGAGTACGATCAAAAATGCCTATGTGCAAATGCTCCTATAGAAGGGGATGGGGAGAGAAGAAAGAAACGGAGGTTGGGAGGAGGGGGGGAAGTGGGAGAAAAAAAAATCGAGAGCGAGAAGCCCCCACTTTTTTGGGAAAAAGCCCCGCTCGGGTTTGTGCGTTGCCTCTCCTACCTTGCCCTCCCCTCCACAGCAGGTTTACTCGGTTTACGGGTTTACCAGTACACGGGTTGACACGGGGTTTTCCAAAGTCATTTCAGACTCATTTCAGACTCATTCTTCTGCTTTCCCTGCAATCTTTTGTGACTCACTCAGATCTATGGCTATCCGAATAGATCCGTGGTTTCTACTCGTCAGAGCTAGTCTTTGGAACGTGACAGCACACACAGCTCTCAATTGCCACCCAAAGCTAAGCTAAGCAAAACTCAAGTCCTTCTCGGTTCACCCAACGGGGAAATCAATCCCTAGCTCTCCCTCTCTCAGCCCCGAAATGAAACCGCACCTCGTCAGGTCGAAACATCCGCCCCGCCACTCACCACTGCCCACCACTCACCGCCCACCGCGGGGTTGGGCGCTTACTAATGCTGATCCCCGCTGCACAAGGGTACTGATATCCTGCAACCAGTTGTACTCGGTAGTAATAATATAGTGTTTAATTCTATATTCAAGTTAAATCATAGATCTAGTCATCGTTGTTCAGGGCTCTAATCCTACTCATGCTTGTGGTGGCCAGATTGGTGGCCATTCAGTGCAGACCCGAGAGTGGTACAAGAAAACTGTTTGTAGAGAAACATGTAACTCCTTCACTTGGATTACTCGTACTATTGAAAAGTTTCAGTGGATCTCTAATCCATAGTTTAGATCTCGTCCTTAATCCATGGGTCACATGCCAATGCATCCTTTACATCCGAACACGAGATAAACACATATCCCGGGAAACCCTCCTCGAGACCTTTATTTCTATACCATATCCTATCGCGTCTCTGGTCCTTGGTCCACCAAAGCCCAAGATCTCCACTATGACCCTTATTCTTCTCATGACCAAAGAGCCCAATAATACAATCCTGGATCATACTTTTCCAGTTCATGCCGGATTCCTCTTCTCCGCCATTAACAGGATCGAATCCAAGCTCTTTCATTATCGCAAAACAGCGGACCATTGTCTGCCAGCAGTATTTGAGATATTTCCCAAGCTGCTCTCGATTTGAAGGGTGTAGAGGATCATGCGGTGGGTCCAATTTCCTGTGAACTGGTTCGTAGTTGGCGAATTCCATGATATCCAATGCTAACTCAACAGGTAGACCCTTAGAGCAGAGCGTCATCCGGACGCGGGTAGTATCAGAAAGCGAGGGCCCATCGGATAGATAAAGAGATGTCGACATTGACAGGTAATCATGAATCGGCTTCCTTCCATAAGGGCCTGGGTGCTCTTGCTCTCGGTCGGTTGCATATTTTCTCCATCTTGGTGGACGTTTTTCTGCGTTCTCTTCTGTTCTTATTCTCTGTTCAACTTGGTGTGGAGGATCCAGACCAAGGAACTGGTTATGCGGAAATTTTCTAACGGTAGAGTAGTGGTCATAAGGGAATATCGCGCAACGATCAATGGCTTTTTGGTAGAAAATCGTGTTGCGATAGTCCTTTTCTGCTCTCCTTTCGGATTTGGGCTCACATAGTTCCGGAAGCAATATTCTACGTTTAGGCACATTTACATCCAGAGCATGTCTCGACCTATCCCTTGCCATCCAATGTAGTTGTATCTTGACTTGAATCCCGTCAGTATCAAAATCCGGCCACGAGATTGATGCAAAGCATGATGAATGGATAGTTGGGACCTACACGACTACAATCGAAACGAACACGTTTATCATAGGTCCTTTTAAGATGCGTCTCTGGATGAGCACAAATACGAAAGAGAGCATCCATCTCTCCGTAAAGAAGCAATGTTTTCACAACTTCGAGATTGAAAAGTACAGCGTTGTTTTGACGAAATTAATGGCAATACTCAATGTTATCGAATTGACGAAGAAATGCAGACTTTTGTCTTTCTTTCATTGGAAGGGGTTCGCATTTGCAGGGTTCCGAATCAGGATCCCTCAAGAAACAGGTTTCGGAAGGGCATAACCTTTGAGACCACCCATGTTTTCGCCATCGCCGAACTGTAGGTGATATTTTTCGAACGGTGGCTTCATTGAGAATCACATCTGATGGCTGGGGAGGGACATCGTGTTGCTGATACTTTTTTTCGTTCACAGACCGCATGCTCCTCGAGATTCTTTACAAAGGCGTCGACGATATAATTCAGGTCAGCAGCTTGATTGGATTTCATGCGTGGCTAGAGGTTTGTTCCGAAGTTGTCCGAAGGTCTTGGGGCTTTCCACTCTAGATTTGATGTGAGTAGATCCCATGGGATATTGTGCGCTTGATGCGCCATGAAGTAACAAGTTGCTCGATTAAGATAGTGGGGAAGAGTGGAAAAAATGAAATAACGGCTTGAATGAGGATGGAATGTGGTGGGTCAATCAGATATTTATTATTTCTACTACTACTACTCTCCGACTCGGAGTCTACACTGGTTGGCACGTTTATGGCCGCCAACTGGAAAGGAATTGTTGCGGCGATTTGACTTATGGCCCCCAACTGATCAGCGGGCGAGTCACAGAAACTGTGTAAAACCGAGAAAAGTGCGATTACGATCCACCCTGGCCAGGTATTACTACTAGTAGTACGATTATATTTCAATTTTAAACAATGATTGCTAGTTTATGGTTTTTAAGTTAATATTACACCGTTATACCTACTATTTTAAACAAAAGTCTTACCGTGAAATATAAGCGGGGCGAACCGCTCAGGTCCTAAAGAAAAGCTCAAAATATGCACAGTCTACTCAGGGAGCAGCTTAAGCAGTGTTACCGTCACATTTTTTTACTACTGGAGCAAGTTCTCAGGCCGACCCGTACTTTGCCCCTCTACCGAAGCCTCCGCGGCTACTCTCACACTAGTGATGTCTTTGGAAGGGCAATTGGTTTGAAATTATCTCTTCCAAGGTTTCTCTGGGTGTGATTATCAGGATAATGGTATAAACTCTGAGTCTGAGTCGCAGATTGAGATCCAAGGTTGTGAAATTCCGGGGTGTCCGTACTAGTACTAGTAGGTAGTAATAATATATAACTACAACTGGCCGATGGTCGAGTGCCCAGGTGCCAACCGTGGAATGGACGGGCCGTGTATACTCTTAGAACTTTGGAACCCAAGATCTCGATGGCCTATAATTAATATCGAAGAACTAGTAACTCGTAGAAGAGCTTGAACTCTAACTACGGAGTACTCAGGAACCAGTGGTTTGTCATTGCTGACAAGAAGCCTTTAATAAGCGCCGTTTATCCGTAATTCCGCCTTGCGCCAAATTAACCGGCGGCAACGGATATACAACATCACCAGTTCCTTTTTTTAGCGGCCCTGCCATGCTTAAAAAACTGCGGAACTGCCCCGTCGATTTGTAACAATCCCGATCATTTTTAACAATTTTATCTACTAGTACTCTCAATCGCCCCGTTTATCATACTATTACTCTATTTAAAAACCCTTCCATCCGCAACTATGGCCACTCGTACTATTCTTCGACCGGCTTCCACTCTCCACAGCATCTGCCGAACACTGGGATCCACCTCAAGACCGCAAACCACATTAATATCGGCCCAACCCCCGTCAATTGCACAGCTATTTCTTCGTCCATTCTCAACTTCTCTCTCCAAGAACTCCCCCGCCACCCCCGCCACCATGACCACCGACGGCCTCCTGCAGGCGACCCAGACCCGCCGCACTATCTACCAGCTCGGCAAGAACAGCCCCGTCCCTGACTCCAAGGTCGAGGAGCTCGTCAACCACGCCATTACCCACGTCCCCAGCTCCTTCAACACCCAGTCCACCCGCCTGGTCGTTCTGCTGCACGAGGAGCACGACCGACTCTGGGATCTGGCCGCTGAGGCTTTCGCTCCCCTCGTCCAGTCCGGTGCTGTCCCCGAGGAGGTCTTCAAGAACCAGACTCTGCCTAAGCTGCAGGGCTTCAAGGCCGCTGCCGGTACCGTGAGTAAATCCCAACCAAAGCTGAACAAAAGGCAATGTCTAATCCATCAATCTAGATTCTCTTCTACGAGGACCCTGCCCACGTCAAGGGTTTCCAGGAGAAATTCGCCGCCTACGCCGACAAGTTCGAGCCCTGGGCTGACCACTCCAACGCTATGCACCAGTACTTCCGTATGTTGATATTTCACCACCCCAGAATAATAAAATAATAATACTAACAATGTAATTCAGTCTGGACTGCTCTCGAGTCCGTTGGTTTCGGCGCCAACCTGCAGCACTACAACCCCCTTCTTGACGCCTCTGTCGCCAAGCAGTGGAACCTGCCTACTGACTGGCGCCTGGTTGCCCAGCTTGTCTTCGGTAGCCCCGAGGGCCAGGCTGGCGAGAAGGTCCAGAAGCCCATTGAAGACCGCGTCAAGATCTTCGGCAAGCAGTAAATTTCGCCCAATGCTGTGCCTCACGCCCTCATGACTTTCTTTACTTTGTTCAGCCCTGAAACGGCTGTAATTGTAGATACACATAGATGCCGTCATTGATGTTCTAGAACCTGTCAATAGAATAGAATACCTACGTGTTTTGATATTAGATCTACAATACCTCGAGCATATAAAATGTCCCCAAGTTTAAAGATGAATTGTCTTTCCCTTAACACCATGAGAATATCAACAGTTCTAATGAAATGTACAAGATTTCCTTCAAAGATAAGCCTCTTCAACCCGCTTCTTCTCCCGCTTCAAAAACTCCGCAAAGGTACTCAATTCAATATTCCATCCTTTCACCTTCTGAAAATCAACGAAAATAGCCATGTCGCGCAAAAGCAACTGAGGTCCCAGAAAAGGATCCGTTGCCATCTTTCCCTTCACTTCCTCATCAGACAAAAAGACAACCTCCATGTCTCGCCCAGTGGCCTGGGCAATATCCTTAATGATGGCCTCTGCCCCCATCATTTGCGACGCGATCTCGACCTCCTTCCCATGGAATCGGATCGGATCGCATACTGCCGCAGCAGCAAATCTTCCGATATCGTAAGGATCAACCATAGGAAGGATCGTCTCGGGGGTAAAAGCCGTTGTGAATTTTCCAGTCTCAACAAAACCCTGATACATTCGAACGAGGGGGTTCAAGAAGTTCGACATGAAATTTCCCGGTCGTAGGATTGTCCAGTGCTCGAATCCAGCGTTGCGAACTTCCTTCTCGATGGATTGTTTGCCGAGAAGGACATTCGCAGCAAGGTTTGTGGGATCCCAGCGAGGTAAGCGTTCGGGATTGACGGTGCCCATTGCACCAGTGTAGATGATTTGATTGATGCCGATCTCTTTTGCGATGGATATGATGTTCTTTGCTTGGTCGAGTTCGGCCGATGGGTTTAGATGATTCGGGGATAGATTGAGAAAAATGCTGGTGCAGTTGGTCATGGCCTTTCGTAGAGTTTCTTCATTGTCGAAATCACCCTCAATCAGAGATACGCCGCGGTTACTGATCTTTTGAGCAGCTTCCGATTGGATGTTGCGAGTGATGGCGTGGACTTGGATGTTTTGTTGTAGAAGGTGGGTGGTAAGAGCACCGCCTTGGGTGCCTGTTGCGCCGCAAACGAAGACAATGGGAGAGGCCATGATGTACTAGCTTTAGAGATAATTGCTTGGATGATTTCTCTTCACAGGCAGGTAGTGGCATTTAGATCTAATTTATGTTTTCTTTGACTGATGTTCAAATAAATCTCATACTGCGCAACTCCGCCGGGTCGGCCCACTCAGTCGCAGTTGAACCTCTCCGATTGGCGGCCCGTCGCCACTTTCTTGCTTAGCGTGCGGAATTCCGCTCTAGGTCTCTGGCCTCATTCATGCTCTTCTTCCATTCCACTTCCTGGCCATAATCATCAGTTCTGATAGGCTATGATGGCTCATCAAGACCCAGCTCCACCTCGAAGAAAGTCTTGTGAGGCATGCAAGACGGCTAAACGGCGTTGTGACCTCGCCTTTCCCGCCTGTTCGCGATGTATCAGCAGAAATTTGCCCTGCAGTTACCCTGGTAGACTACCTGCAGCCTACCAAGATCTCGTGGATGAATCACCTCCAACCATACCCACGAATGCCATGGATCACATGTGGCTCACCACCGCCATGACACATCCTTCGCCAATTCACAACGGCTTGTGTGCTGAGTCGATTTTAGACTCCGCGCCGGAGCCACGAGAGCCTCAGCTAGATTGGAATCAATACGTTTCTGACGAGCTTTCAACCACATCATTTTTTGAAGGCCCCTTATCTCCCACAAACTTTGCCGTCGCTCTTCCGCGAGCGCGATCATTAAGACCACTTTCGGTTATAGTGGCGTCACATCTCCAATTCACCATTGACGTTCTTAAAACCGCGCCTCAAATGATGGTAATAGAGAATCGAACACCATGGTGTCATCAACAATTATATAAAAGCCATAATATGCCACAAGTCATGCAAGGTATAGATTCTCCGATATCCCCTTCATGTTTATTAGTGAGTGCTCTTTTAAACTGCCAGTGCTAACACATATCAATATAGATGCTTACGCATGTTGCTCTCTATACATGTGCAAAAACGACATAAACGCCCCAGTAATAATGAACCTCTTTGATGCACGCACAAGAGAACTCCTCTCAGCACCTGAACCAACCGAGACCCTTGACATCCTCGCTCGCACCCAAGCACTAATCCTCTACCAAATAATGCGACTCTTCGATGGAGACATCCGCTCTCACGCCACAGCCGATGCCTTATTCACAACACTCGAGTCATCAGTCCTCACACTAATGGCGATAGTGCCAACCCCCAAACCCTACGATCCGACCGAACTTCTCCCGCTATCAATGGAAGACGCTGCGACTTTCTGGGAGGGATGGGTTTTGCAAGAATCGGCGCGGCGCACAGTGCTGTTTACATATTACTTTATTCAAATCTTCAAAGTCCTTCAAGGAAGAGTACCTGTGTCGTGTGATGGCAAGCTGGGCCTTGAGCATTCCTGGTATCTTTCGGGTGACTTGTGGAACGCTTCCAGTGCTTTTGATTTCGCGGTCGCTTGGACGGAAAAACAGCACCATATTGTTTATAATCTTGATTTCGAGCCGGTGTTGCAGAATGCACAACCGGGTGAGGTGGATTTGTTTGGGAGGATGCTACTAGTCACGGCTTTGGGGATTGATAAGGCTAAGGCTTGGTTCCATATCAGAGGTGCTATATTATAAAGTCCATCATCATGGATGACCTCGACATAGCGGAAACAATAAGATTATCCGTTGAATGACACATTTACGATTGAAAGTAAAAGAATGCCCCAGAAGTATCAGTCTTCTCTCTCTCTCTCTCTCTCTCTCTCTCTTTTCGTAAATGACTCATCTGCGCTGGAAAAATGGCGGGGCTCCAAGGTTTCCAGTTGGCCGAAGCCTCGTGTCATGATGCAGGCGGGAAGAAAGGGGCTGAAACTGGTGGAAGTACAACGTAGTGCAAGGCTGCAGAACGCCGATCTGACCAGGCAGCTTTAGGCAGCGAGACGCTTGGAATCGAACCCAATAGTGAAGCCCAGAAGCTTAAAGAAGGTGAAGAAAAATATTAATGCGAGTATAAATCCAATGGGAAATCCCCAAAATTATTACTAGTATCATCCGGGAATACTACTAGTATTTCTCAAACAACCAACTCTTTGCGGGGAGACGACTTCTCACCCCACTCAACATGGACCCTTATTTATCCCGAACGCTCCAATCACTCACTCGAAGTAAAATCCACGAGCTTGAGAAACAACGAGATGCATATGAGCTGAGAAAAGTTGAGGCTCTCACGGGCGCGGACCAGTGTCCCACTCTGCGTGAGCGCGTCGAGCATCTCCTAGTCAGTACCAGGAAGCTGCTTCCAGTTTTGAACCGCGACGCGGAAATTTCGAACATCGAACACTGGGTTGATCAGGCACGCTTTGACTCTTCGATCCCAACCAAGAAACTTGAAAGTTTTGAAAAATATTTGCGCAATAAGTTGGAGCCTCATAGCCGCAAGCTCCAACTCGCCGATTTGTATTCGCGTCTTCTGACAGAGTGGATGAACCCACCGTCTGGAGAAAAGGAGAATCCGGAGCCCGCCTCTGGTGACGCTGATGAATTTTTGGTGGTAGAGGAAAGACAAAAGCAGAGGCAGCAGCAGCTCTGTGACCAGTTTGAGGACATGGTTTTCAAATCCCACGAGACGGATCCTAGCGAAATTGAGGCCTTTCTGGACGCTCTATTCCCCGATGAGGAACAAAAGCAACTTTTGAAAAACTTTCGTGATCAAGTGAGCAGAGCCACGGAGTCTATTTGGGAGCAAGAAGATCCCTTCACTGTCGACTCCCTATCAGCATGCATCCGGGGCATTCAATGCGAGGAAATTGTCACTGACGAAAAACAAGAAACATTGAAGCATTTTGTGAACAATAAGGTAGCTCTCAGTGAGATTGCTGATGTTCTCAACATGCGATATGCCGACCTAGTCAATTGGGATTGGCATACAGGTGAGGAGGGCGTACCTGTCTTACCTCGCCAACAATTGAACGGCAAATATCGAATCTGGATGGATGATGATATCCTAGAAACGATTTTCGTTGAGCATATCTGTATCAAGCTGTGTAAGGATTTAAAATCGGCTTTGACTTATCTCATCAGCGACGAAAGAATGTTCAACTTCGTGCAAGGACACAAAATGACCAAAAACGACAAAATCCGCCGAAGATACTACGCCAAATATGAAGCCAGTGGATCCACGGCACAAAAACGGCGAGAAGACTATTTCGAAAATTTCTTCCTAGCAGCAATGCCAGAAGGAGAGGACACTTTAGGAAATCGCTTTGGTGGATACGATGACGACCCCGAGACGCATGAAAGCTCTGCACCGAAGAGTGTGAAACAGAAATTGCTTCGAAAGATAGTGACTGAAACTTTGCTGGAACGTCATTTGAATGGAGAAGCAGCCGTCATTCAGACAGACTTGCAATGGTATGCGACTTCGATTCCACACAGCACGGTTTACGCCTTTCTGGCTTATGCCGGGTTTTCGGATCGATGGATCAACTTTTTCCGCAAATATCTCGAGACTCCGCTCAACATGGATCACTCTTTCGAGGGACATGAAAATCTTGGACCACGAAAACGAAGAAGGGGCATTCCGATTGCACATGCTTCAGAGAAGCTCATTGGAGAGCTTATCCTCTTTTTTATGGATCTTGCCGTAAACAAGGGAACTGGGATGCTGTTATACCGGCTTCATGACGATATTTGGCTCTCCGGAAAGCCAGAGAAGTGTGTTAAGGCGTGGGATATCATGCAGAACTTTGCCAAGATCACTGGACTCGAATTCAACAGGCACAAGTCAGGATCTGCTTATATGGGCGAATCCTGGATGAGACGCGAAGCCACCACCCGTCTACCAGAAGGTCCTGTAAGGATCGGCTTCCTTATGCTGGATATATCATCTGGCGAATGGATAATTGATCATTCCCAAGTTGATGCGCATGTCCGCCAACTGAAAACACAGCTCGATCAATGCAATAGCATCATTTCCTGGATTCGTACTTGGAATAGTTGTATTGGTCGGTTTTTCAAAAACACATTTGGAGAGCCGGCATACTGCTTCGGGCGGCCACATATTGATGCTATTCTCAGTACATATGAGAAAATGCACAAGACCATTTTCGAAACAGCCGAAAACCCAACGCAATGCACAGTCACTGGATTCCTAAGGCAAAAGATCGAATCTCGTTTCGGCACATCCGATGTTCCGGATGCATTTTTCTATCTTCCCGAAAAGCTAGGAGGTCTTGGTCTTCGAAATCCATTCATTTCAATTTCTCTCATCCGGAAAAAGCTCAACAAGACCCCAATTGAGCTGGTGGATGATTACTTGAGTGAGGAACTCTCCCACTATGAAAGGGCGAAGAGGAATTTTGAGAGGACTACCCGGAAAGATCGCCGTGCTCTTTTGGAGCACTTGCAGCCCGATCGCGCATTCGAAGATCTCAACATCATTTCCACAGAGGAGATGGATCAATTTATGACGGTTAATGAATGGAACAAATTGCGCGAAGAGGAAAGCTACTATTTTTCATTGCTATATGAAGAGCTCATGAATGTTCCTACCTGTGTCGGTCCTCGTACTACTGCTGTGGTTAACGATGCCATATCTGATGCTCGTGAAGATTTCGACCTTGGAAATCTGGGGATAGAGACGAAATGGGTTCTTGGTCTATATGCAGAGGAGCTGATGAGAGATTTCGGAGGGTTGAACTTGGTGGATAAGCAATATTTGCCTATGGGTGTATTGGACATGATCAAGGACAAGAAAGTTAGATGGCAGATGGTTTTGTAATTCAGAGTTCCATGAGATTGCTTTTGTGAATTTATCTCTATTCTGAGTTTGACTTTTTTTGAAATGATGAAGTAAAATAATCCAGTCTAAAACCCCCCTATTTCATCATGATACGCTCGGCGTTCTCCTTTCCACCACTCCCCCATTGATCCCAGGCGAGTGTGAATGAAAAAGTGTCTCTCCACAGGTCATTCGAATCAGTTCCAGCTGGTGGCTCCTTCCCATTTCCGATTTTGCCTTTCTCCCTGCCT